GGTTTAAAACTCATAAGGTAAGGTAATTTGTGTAATCTAGGGCCTTTAAGTTACTCTTACTTAAGTAGTAGTTTTTCCAAATACTTTTTTACCCTTACTTGAGTACAGTTATTGGTTGCACTGTACCCACCCCTGTGTATATGATATAACTTAGACTACACATTTCACTTAAACATACAGTAGTTAACATGATTATATTTAAGATTTAGCTAAAATAAAAATAAATGTTTTCCTTAATTACACGAATTTGGTGAAGTTTTAAATTGAACTTCCAGGTTGAACATGGGCAGCAGATGTAACACAAGTAGAGGTCACTGTAAACAAGGGCCAAATACTGCAGCTATTATGTAACAAATTGAAATATAAATACCTTTATTTTATTAAGTGTTAAAAGGAATTTTGTGTATGCGTGTTTCATTGGGTTTTATTTTTCATAAACTTTCTTGATATAAACTCAAAAGAAATAGAGAGAAAAAACAAGAAAATGCTGCTGTATTAATCTTAAACTGTATTAAGCAGAAACCTTGAGTCTACATCTGTTAGAATATGTCTTTGTGGAAACAAACAATTAACCAATTTATGTGAAAAGCATTGATAATGTAGAGACAAAAACATGATCACAGTAACCAGCAGTCTGAACTGGTCCATTTATATATTATTACAGACAATTAACTCATCTGTGTGTGAAAAGCATTGGTCATTTAGACAATGCAATCAGGGCTATTTGTTTTTTTTCTTATATTGATCGATCTCAATTTTGATTCAGTGTTATGGTACATAAAAATGAAAATGTCTAGGCCTTGATTTCATGAAAACAAGACAAACTTTAAAGTGCTCATATAACACTATTTTTTGATCTATGTTATCATCTTGTTTCCTCATCACAAACAAACCTGGAGTTGTGTTTTGTTTCATTCACACGTTTAACACACAAACCGTACATATTTAGACTGAAAACACTCCATGTGGTAAAAGAGGAAGTGCTCCAGTGTTGTTAAAATTTCATACACTTTCACTAGAATCATTTGGGTAATTTCAGTCCTGGAATTGATAAAATGTTACCGATTCATCAGCCGATTTCACTTCGTGGAAACTGTCTGACCTCGCAGCATTAGGATTTGTTCGCTCAACGTTAGGTGGGTACTTTTTTATTTAACCAATTGCTATTTGGTCATGACGTATGTAATGCGCCAAATCCTGTATGCAGATGGGCAATAACGTCTTTCCCCTTGATAAAATTCACCAAACATTCTCTTTGTTCCGGCTTTAAATCCTTCGATCTCAGGAATCGTTGCCAACACAGAATGTATGACTCTTCGCTGATTGGCTGGTGCCCGGACTCGTACTTCCAGGGTTCCTGCAAACCGTCTAGTGTATTCCAATTCCTGGAGAGAAATGAAATTGAGCGGAGGCACTAGGTGGTGCCAACCTGTCTAGTAAAATGTAGCTGTTAACTTGAAAACTACCACTACATGACATCACAAAGTAGTACAGAGCATTTTGAGCTTTGGACACCGATTAATAATAAAGAATTACTCGAACATGTGTAAATAAAACAATACACAAGTCCAGTTATGTTTTAGAGGAGGTGCATTCTAACAAGTGTTAAAGCTCACAAGAGTCAATAAAAATTGCCATTTAACACAAAAAAATAGTCAAATTAACTCCTACAAAGAATAGATATTGCACCAAATCACATGCTTTTACTGACTGAGGATTGGTTGTAGACCTCTCTATTTAAAAAAAGAAAAAAGCACTATTCTCAATTCAAATTTGATTCATTGCCAAACACTAAGTACCATGATTAAAATAAATCTTCAGTGCCTTTATACAAATCTGGAATTCCACTGGACCCGTAAATGGCCTTGCAAGAGATACATTCAATCATGTATGAATATTTCAGTTCAATATGAAATGTGAAATCAAGCTTTCTACCAGAGCTACCTCAGTTTGGCCATAGGCGTGTAATAATATATACAAAACAATAAATGCCCAGTATTGGACCTGGCGCCTTGAATGTTTATGAATGGCTCTATTCTGAGATGGAGAGATTAGCTACAACATGCAAAAAAAACAATGGAATTCTTCTTGATCTCATAGGAAAAATGTGTTTATGTCTACCACTGACACATTGTGCTGTATTGGGGTTTGTAGAGCACAGGAAAAACCCCACAGAGTGACTTTTATACAGAAAATGCTCCATAAAGACAATAAAACGGGGCCATTTCCTTATCTTTAGACTTTTATGAATAGTTCTGACAAGTAGAAAATTCCTTAGCACAGTCAAAGATCACAAAACAGGAGAAGTAAAACAAGAGATATTACTCCAGTTTTTTCACTGTAGCCATCATCACAAGCTGAATAGTACCAACTGGAATCATCTTAACTGGCAGTGTTGACTGTAGTATCACCAAGTACAGAGCTCAACTGTGACTGTACACTCCCTCGTTCCGTAAGCAAATTTCCTACTCATTGACTTTCCAGGGAAAAAAAAAGTATATTAAACGTTTGAAAGCTTGGTCTGGTCTAATCAGCTCTGAGGCAACTATGACGGCAATTTTATTTAAAAACTGTCAGTGAAACTAAAAGGTTACGTTTTAAGGTGGAGCCCAGAGGCAACCACAAAGCTCAGTACTGCAGTACAAATTTCTGTTTGGTATTTATCTGGATTTAGCAGAATCAGAATCTGAATTTATTTGTCATTTTAGTATAAAAATACACAGAAACAAAACACCGCACTCAGGTCCAGGTCATCAGCCGCATAAATAGTTTAAAATATTGTATGTCAAACACAGTCTTTAAAAAAAATAAACAGCCCCCACTTTCTAAAGTTTTACCCTGATACAGTTTTAAAAGCTGTTCCCAAGTTCCTGGCCTGTAGGTGGCGCAGTCTTCTGCCTGATGGGAGAGCTATAAAAAGTCCATGTGCTGGATGGGTGGAGTCCTCCATGATGCTGTAGGCTTTTGTCCTGCACCTGCTGAAGTAATTGTCTTCAATGCAGGGAGGAATACAGACACAGATGCACTCAGCAGCAGCAAATTTCTCAAAGACACTGATAAAGACCAAGAGTTAAGTCATAAGAAATTATTCTTCATATTCTGTACTGTAATCAAGTGTTTCTTTTTAAATATATGTTTTTATCCTTTTCATTTGTTCAGAACTGCTCCCTGTGACCCCTCCATCCCTCTTGGGCTTTTCACTCTCTCATCTGCACCTGCCCTGAACTAATTTTTACGTTTCACTGCTATTTCTCTCATATTTTTTAGTTTAGTTTAGTTTTTTTCTATCTCCTCTCTCTGCTCTCTGCGTCATCATCTCTCTCTCCCTGACCCAGGGGCCTGTGTTTCGCCCAAATCCAATCCCTCTACCTTTTTCTAAAGCTGCTGTTCCATTTCACAAGCGTTTTGTCACAGCGCGCTCACACAATGGCCCCGCTCCTCCTCTTTGCTCCATTCAGTCACACTAGTCTCCACAATACGCAAACATATGAACAGAGAAACACAGAAACTAAATCCTGGACAAATCGGAAAACAACTTCATTCAGCCATCAGTTAAATCAGCTCCTGGTCAGACTGGAATTCTGATGTGAAGAACTCCAAACATACATACCTTACATAGGAAATGGTGTACTCTCTGTACATTTTTTTCATTTCATATTGGTTGAATAATCTTATGATACAGCTGGTACCGGTGAGGAGGGAGCCACTTGCTTGTCTCCATGGAGATGTTGTTGCTTTACCTGGAATGTTCCACAGTGAACACATTCAATTATTTCTCTTGCATTTCTTCAAACACACTTTTTTAAATAGCTAAAAGTGCCTAGAAAAACCTGCATTCTCACCGTGTCTTCTCTCCACAGATCTGACCAGTAACTTGGCTAGGCAAATCCTCACATAAGTTTGAATAACTAGTAGCAGTAAGGGTAGTGGTTTGGGTAGAAAGACAAGACGAACGTGGTGAAAAAAATTGCACTGTTGAGCGAGCAATTAAAAGAAAATCAGTTTTTGAATGCCAAAATGTCCTCAAAATGTCACTTGTAAATAGAAAGTTGAAATCCATGAACATTATAGAAGTAGAAACAGCAGTACAGCAGTAGTAGCTGTAATTACTTCAACAGCAAGACACTAGGGATGTAACTATAACCAAAATATCGTGGTATTGTATCGTCTCTTTGCTTAAATTAAGAGTTATGGTGCAACAGTAGCTAAAAAAAGACAGAGGGAACTACATAGACCATGATCCTTTGCTCCATTTCAATGTAGACTACAAGAAGAAATAACAGTTCTAAGCACTTTTAAATCTTACTTCTATGGATTAAGTCTGGTCAAGGCATTTTAAGAGGAAAAAGTGGCATATTAACAATTTTGGTAGCCTCCACAAAATATCGCAATAAATATCATACTGAGAGATTTGGATATTGTTACATCCCTAATTATGAGCCTCCCCACCACATTGTATCACCACAGTATCGCAATAATATCATACTGTGAGGTTCATACTGTTACGATATCATATCTTGAGACTCCTCTACAGTACACTAATATCAGTAGAAAAGAAATGGTAGAAGTTATAAATGTAACACTGAACTAGAATTAGCAATACCAGAAGAAAAAAATGATTCAGAATGTTGCTTGCTTTAGTGCTTCATATTACATACAGACCCTACATCCCTTGCCAGTTGCCACTGCTGTACCTCCGAGGCCATCCATCACTACTACACTCAACCTCTACTCTAACCAATCCCACAGTGCTTAGGGAATAACTGCCTGATTCTAAAGAGTGTGTGCGTGTGCCAGTCTAGAGTGAGTCGATGTGAAGTGAAGCGTGCAAACCCAACTGTGATCTGTATTGTTTACTGCTTTGGAAGACTGATAGTGTGCATCTGTGTGTGTATGCGTTCGTGTGTGCGCATAAGCCGCATGCACCGCTCTTCGTGTTCTGAAAAACGGTCTCGGATGACACAACAGCCGTCACAATGGCGACAATAAAGCAATTATAATAACATAATAACGCCCTTTATTTTGAAAAGAATAAATATGAAAACACACAGAGGACACGAAACAAAAAAAGCTTTGCAAGATTTGAAAAGCAGGGATCTGTTGTCTTTTGTGCAAATGCTAAAATCTTTCATGTATATTATTCAGAAAATAATATTAGCTAACAATACACATCCTAGTTATATTACTGTCAAATTATAGACATTATGACAAATTCCAAGTGCTAATAGTAGCGTAGCCATTCAAATAAACGCATTAACTCTTAGTCCAAGTGAAGTGAGTCAGTAACCTCTCTCCAATCACAAAATCCATGTTCCATAAACTTATTCCTCGTGCCCATTCAAGGACACAGTGAAGGCTGGTTCAAATAGTTCATGCACTTTACTTGGGATCCAGGACACAGACTCACAGCATCGTCAATACTTCACGAACATGTGAGTCACAGGTGAATCCTCCAGAGTTCAGATGGGCGTGATTGACAGGTGGATCAGCCAATCAGGAGCACGCGTGGTTTGTCCGCATCAAAACAGATATGGCAGATTGCACCATCGCATTTAGAGTTTGGCCTGAGATGTGACAGAGGGTGTGGTGTCCAGCCTGCATAATAAACACAGTGATATTTTTAGTGTGATTCTTCCATTAAATGCAGCTAGATTGATTTATTTATGATGTATATATATATTCATGTTTGTGTGGGTTGCATCTTGTAGTTTTACTGTTTGAGCAAATTAACCAATGTCCCCCCCCCCAAAAAAAAAAAAAACATAATTGAAATTGTTGCTCAGGTTACAATATTAGCCGCTCGATTGTACACCATTGTGTCTAAGGTTATTTTCCCACAGGCGAGGGCCACTTCCTCGCTTGTGTGCTCGAGTTGCCCTTTCACCGACCTGCCCGGGCTCTCATTGTTGCTTGAGAAAGAAGGCGGCTCCGGTCTGGATCCACTGGCTGGGGTTAGCTCCACAGGGCAAGCTGATGTGCGTGACCACCTTCAGCCGCTCCGACGTGGTGTACAAAGGGAGCCAGATCCTGCCCTCCGAGGAGCCAAGGTCAGCGGGAGACTTCTGCGACCAGCAAAACACAGCCACAGATCAATAGTGTGTGATAGGTGGGTACAAAGAGACAGATGGGGTTTAGAATCACACAAAAAATCAAATCATAGTTTATTTTCATCAAGTTTATTTTGTTGTGATTTCTGCTTAAAGGGCCCATATTATGCTATTTTCTGATCTGTGATAATGTTGTTTCCACATCAAAAACATACCTGGGGTTAGGCTGAATTATTTCTCTTTTCTCTGCTCCACCTTATGATGTCATGTGGTAATACAGGAAGTGCTCCACTAGGTTTTTAAACTCCATACACCTTCACCTAATCAGCACTGTAATTGTCAATTTCTACTGAACTAAAGGACCTCGCAGTGTTAGAATTCGCTCGCTCGAAGGTAATCGGGTACTTTTTATAATTTAACCAATCGCTGCTATTTGGTAGTCATGCATTGAGCTGCTAACGGGGCTAAATGATAGATTAAGCTTTTCCCAAATCCCATAGGAAGAAGGGCACTAACGTCTTTCCTGTTGATGAAATTCACCAAACATTCTCTTTATTCCGGCTTTAAATCCTCAATCTCGGGAATTGTTGACAACACTGAATATATGGCTCTTCACTGATTGGCTGGTGCCCGAACTTGCACTTCCGAGGTTTTTGCGACCCGTCTATTGTATTTTGATACCTGACCTAGTTGCTGGAGAGAAATGAAAGTGAGCGGAGACACTGGCTAGGTAAAAGGTAGCTGTTAACTTGAAAACTACCCCATTTTGACATACTAATAAACTGAAATAAAACACAACACCAGGCATGTTTTTGATGACGAAACATTATAATGTGACTTAAAGCTCACAAGAGTAAAATGTTTGTGTTACTTTGTGTAATATAGGACCTTTAAAAATGCACTATGCAACGTTTCTGGTGGAGGTGCTACCTGGTTGTCTCCATGGAGATTATATTGTTTTGCCAAGAAGTGTCCACAATAAGGCGTTCAACTTGGCTATGTATGTATTTATTATTCAATTGCACATGTTATTATTGCAAAAGAAATACCTGGAAATACTTGTGTTAATGTGGGCGGGCTCACGTCCCTACAGCTCTGACCTGTCACTTGGCCACCTGCTATGGATATAGATGAGTAAGGGCATAGTGTGGAACATTCTTGGCGAAGCAATAATATACAGTATCCATGGAGACAAGCAGGAGGTGGACACTGCATCAGAAAAGTCACACAGTGGATCTCTAGCAATGTAGATTTTATTTTTTTTTTTCTAGATGCAAATTTGTATTCATGGTTATCAGCTTCAGGTCAGGCTTTTCTAATTATCATTCATTACTAAATAACTAAAATATCTTTATACAGGCCGTTTTAGAAACACAATATTATCAGTGTAATAGTCAACTGTGATTTAGGCTGTAGTGACTGTAATTTTGACTTGTTTAACAGCACAAATGAGCTCACCTGCTGTAGTTCCAGATAAATGAGTTCTTTACGGTCAGATTTTGTTAATACAAGGTTCAGAGTAAAGTGTAATAAAGTCTCAGACAGAACAGAGCCGACAATTAGCATCACAGTTCTGCGATATTTTTTGTGCAACTGTTTTTGTATATTGTATTTGTTCTCTGTGTCACCTAGGGACAACAGATGGAAATTAAATTGTTTTGCTACTACAGATGTTCATTACTGTTCTTATAAAACCAAAAACAAACAGACAGACCCCTAAAACATTTGAAAAACACAACAGATACAAAACAACAGGAAGAACCAACACTGTACACAACATTTCAACCACTGCTCTGGCACGTCTGACACCTTCATGAACAGAACCGAGACAAACCTGTGGGACCCAGGCCATGTAACAGGGAGGCACGGCGGACACGCTGGGAGAGTCGTGCTGGTTTTCACTGAGATGAGTTCCGTCAAAACTGCAGCCTTCTAACTGCAGACCCCCCACCTGGAAAATGAAGAGACAACTGTGTTAGTGAGGATGCCATTAACAATACCAATACATGTTAGGTCAATAGTCATTCAGCGAAAGACTAACACAGGCTATGGTCTATAATGGGGGAAAGTAGGCCAGCGGATTAACTAACATGTCAGCCACAGAGTACATAAGAGGGACTGTTTACATGGGGGAATAGAGCACAATGACTCAGGGATTTCCTCACTAGACCGCACAATAAAGGCAGGCCTGGCATCACACACTGCTGTAATCTGTGTGTGTTTATAGTGCTCATTTGTACACAACCAGTGCCTCAGTATGTACTTTTCTCCCATCTTCTTTTATGTTTTTACTCAAAGTGTCACCTTTGTCTCCATGTGGCAAATGTTGTGCTTGAGAAGATTTGAAGGACTAAACTTCAAGAGCTGCAAATAATGGATATTTTTTTTTATAGTTGACGATTCAGTGACTTGTTTTTTTAAATAACAAGAGGACATTATTATTTCAATTGTACACTGAAATTTAAACACATTTTTAACTGAATAAAGGTTGAAATATGATGACCAAAGGCTTGCAGATAAAGAATATTTACAAATAAAGTGTATTATTGATAAAAATGAAAAATGCTAAAAGTAGATTGCAACATCGCATCACAAAGATTTATGGGACACCGCCTTAGACAAAACAAACACTAAAGTAAAACCGTTATTTCCTCCTCCGTCAAATCAAGCTGCTCATTTCCAGTTCAAACACTCTGTGACATAACATACTCTGGTTTAAATGTAGAAAAAAAGTGAAAAGGTACACTTTTGTATTCTGCCTCATGCATCTCCATGTAAGGATCTATTTGGTTCATGGGAGTACGTACAGTTTTAGCCCACTCTGCAGAGGTTGATGAGGGAAACAAAAATACCTCAGGAAACCCACCCAGGTCAGTAATCAAACCCAATGGGACTGGCTTGGTGTGAGGCAGGAATGGTAAACATTACAAATAAGGTATAGACCCTTCTGGCATTTGTAAACAGAAAAAAACAACATCAAAATGAATTTATTTTGCTATTTTTTGTTTTTGTTATTCTGCCGCTGGATAAAATTTTCATATAAGTACCAGGCTGTGTGCATAACCATTCTAAACTCCTCACACCTAGGAGGGTCTATATTTTGGTCCAAACATTGTGGTTAAAGCTAATTTAAAATGGTAAGTTAAAGCTATGTGTTATTTGGAACTAGATCAAGCCCAGTGAGAAAAATATCAGTAAATAAGAAGAGAAAAGTTTGTATTCACAAATACAAATATTCTTCAAAGAGCCTCCATCTTGTCTCTATTTATTCAAAACACTGAACAACTTCTTGCACCATTCATAGCAAATGACAAATGAACATGGCCATCAGCAGCAGGCGTCTCTTGTTTATGCAGAAAACAGTGTTCACATTTGTATTCTGCCTCTGCTTTATGTTGTCCATTATTTTCTAATCACTCCTCATCCCAGTCTCTTTGGAGGCTCAGTGTGGTGTGGCATCTGTTGTGTCGCCGTCCTGTGTCTGCATGCACGATTGCTGAGACAATCAGTATTTTTACATAAGGAAATTATCTATAGTCTGAGCTCTGATTGCAAAGCTTTAAAATCTGTGGGCGTGTTGCTCACATTGCTGGGTGGGCGGTTTAAAGTTCTATTATATGTATGTCTTAAAGATCACATACTGTGTTTGAGTCTGCTATATAGTTATAATCTACAACACATGTGGATCATTATGTTTTATTTTTATGTTTGCACATTTTAAATCACAATATTCATTTAAACAAATTAATAAAAGAAACAAGTCTGCAAACTTTTGCATTAGACAAAAGGTAGTGCCCAGTAGGAGCTGACGTTGCCGTAAACACAGAGTTGGTGTTACAGATCTGTTGGGAGCCATGTGTTCATGGCTCATACAGCACACACCACAGAAAACCGTCCAGTTTAACAGACCTCTCCAGACAGACGCACAGGCATCTGTGCAGCCACCTATCCCAGATCGGACAGGCACTGTCTAAATAAGATCTAAACGTTCTTCTGTGGCTTCCTAGATCGGCAATATGGTGTTTTGAAAATAACTGATTAAAATTGCTCAAACATGCACAAATCACTCCAAATACAACTTTTAGAGGGTAAATGAGGAGAGTTAACAACTACAACATAGTTAAAAGCTCTGAAAAGTTGATTTTGCATAATAAGTCTCCTTTAATATGATTTACCGTTCTACATTTATTTAATAGTGTTTTGGTCTCTTGAATGATAAATGCTTAGAATGACTCATGATGCAAATTTATGGTTTTATTTGCAACCTTTGTATTTAGTAATTTATTTATATTAGTTTAATAAATGTATTCATTTTACTTTATTTATTTATTTACGTTTTATCTTTTTCTTTGCAGCCAGCATTTTAAAAGTAGTCGAATAAATCCAGTTTGTTTGCATTTAAGCTCTTAGCTAAAAATCTTAAACATTTTTAGTGCTAGTCACTTTCAAGTTAAATCTTGCAAGAAATTCATAGTTTAAATCAATGTTAAAAGGTTTGGAAATGAGATCTATGGTTTGTAACTGTTTTTACAAATTCTTGTAATAGTCTAAATGTTGCTCATGTACTATTGGATTTATGCTGCTGTCTTTGTGCTGCCAGAAATCCCTTGAAAAAGGCATTAGTAATTTCAGTGGGATTTTTCTGGTAACACCTATAATACAGCAGTCAGCAGTAGGGATGGGCATGATTAATCGATAATTGATCATTAAGAATTTCGTCGATTACGTTAATTTTAATCGACAAACCGAATGTAGGTTGCTGTGCGTAGCGTGACCAAACAGGGGTCTGTACATGTGTCTCTCTGCATCAGAAGGAGCGAGCAAACAGTCGGTCAGTCTGCAACGTACCGAAGCACAAATGCGTATTTAACGATGACTTCTACAAGAAAGTCCACGCTTTCCGTTGCGTTCGGGACAAGTGTGAGGCCATGTGCACAGTGTACAAAGCAGCACATATGTTTCGGTGTCCAGTGGGAAAAAGTCTTACCAGGTGAGAGTCGCGCAATGTCGATGACGAGTCCCCACCTCCCTCCCCCCGTACGGTGTCCTGGTTTTGACAAACGCAAATCTGGTCACACTGACCTGTATTCACCTGAGTCATGTCTTTTAATCTGACAGAAGTTGACCGCATCAGCGACACAAGAGCTGTAGTTTTATCTTCGCTTAGTTTATGCAAATTAGCGATGCGGTTTTAAGTTTCGTTTCTGTGAGAGTTGCGCAAAACTGAATTAAACACATTAATAATTAATAATGTCAAACGGATTGATGTGGCTCTAGAGTGGTTACGGTTTATATGTCGTAAAGTTGAATTTATTTATGCAGATTAGTAGTGCAGATAGTAATAATAATGATGATCATTTTAATATAAAAACGTTAATGATTAATCGATAATCGATCGTTAATTCTTCCGACGATCGATTAAGAAAATTTCATCGAATGCCCATCCCTAGTTAGCACACTCACTTGTGCAGTCTGTGCATGTACAGGCTGCTATTGAGTTCTATGATCTCACCTTGACTTGTAGTTTAGCCTGCACAATGTGAGTCTTCCACGATGTTGCGAAAACCAGACTATCCATAGAACAACCCATAGACCTGGAAACAAAGCAATGCACATACTTTTAAGCCTGCGTTTTTTCAGCAGAAGTAGCTCAGTTCAATTATTCTTAAAACTTTTACCTGGCGGTTTCTTGTCTGAGAGCGTTGAGGAAAGTGTCAGGATGAAACAGCTCCGACAGATCCAGCGTGTCAGATAGGAGGGCCTGTCTGCTGGCGCGCTCCACCCAGCCCTGAACACAAACACACCGCACATTCATCATCCAAAATATAACAAATGAGGAGCACTTTGAAATAACACATTACTCAAGCAGAAAATCAGCCCCGCACATGAATCACACAAACTATTTAGTGGATCAATGCACGATAATGAAAATACATTGGCATTGTTAGGTGGGAAAGGAATTGTTAATGGAATACCTCCTCTATGTCACTTCATTCCCCACGGTGTAGATGTCTTATATAGTTTTGTTCATAAAGGACCTAACAGTTTTTGCTTTAATTATGTGCATTATTTAACAACCAAAATGTATCATAATGTATAATAATATAATTTGCAAGCTAGTGGGATATTAAAAACTGAAAATATAACATAATAATATAATAATCTTTGTCTAATATAGAGATTCCAATATTAAAGATAAACTTGGAGACTTTTCTGGTATAGTGTGCCAGTTTCTTGTCTGCATGGAGATTATTGCTTGACCTGGACTTCTACAATATTGCATCAAACATACAGTATCTATTTTCATGCATCGAGGTAGGCAGGTGATGCTCTCAGGCCAAATTATAGGTCAGATCTGTGGAGAGGCAACCCCACATTCAAACAGATGTAAGATGTATGTTTTTTCCAAGGTATTTTTGAGTATTAAAACAAGTGTAGTTAAATTAATGCCACTCAGTGGAACACTCCAGGCAAAATAACATATCCATGGAGACAAGCAGGAGGCAGATCCTAAATCAGAAAAGTTACATATTGTACCTTTAACATAAAAAACAAAACAAACAGGAGTGAAATATGGGCCATTGCAGTTGAAGGTTGCGTGTGTTGTTCATGGGTTTGGAGCGAGCATGTAAACAGCCATTGTGGACTGCAGGGATTGTGTTGTGTACAAAGCAGAGGGTAAAGGTCATATGGTGTATGTATTTGAAAACATAAGCGTTTGGTCAGAAAATGAGGTCACCTGTCCTCTGCTAACGTGAGTCTTTCTTTTTTTTCCTTGATTTTGTTGGTTGGTTGGTGAACACAACACAGAAGCTCATTTGTTCTGTATTTGAGAGAAATGTTAAATACATTTGTAGTAAAGATGTAACTATATCCAAATCTCTTGAGACGACATTATCATGATACACATCTCATGGTACAATACTTATTGTGATATTTTGAAGAGGCTGATATAATTGTAGATAGGACACTTTTTTTGCTTTTAAAATACCCTGACAAGATTTTGGTGTGAATTATTACTGCCCTAATCTCAAGAATTCTCAAGAATTCACCCAAACCTTAACCCTAAAAACATATTATTACATGTAGTCTGCGCTGAAATAAATCATGGGATATGTAATTCCCGATGTTTATTAGTTATTGCTACTATAAAAAAAAATGCATTTAAGCTAAAGAACTTATAATTCGATATATTGTGATGCCCCACAACATTATTGTGAGACTTTTGACGATACAATATCACAATATTTCAGTTATTGTTACATCCCTAATATCCCTAATATCTCACCACACATGACCTCACAACCTTGTGCATACATATTTACTGACTGAGCCACAGTCATCCAGTAAAATATCTTTGAGTATTAAGAAAAGCACTATATAAATAAAATGTATTATTATTAATAGTATTTTTTTATGATGTTCAATCAACATAACAATAAGATAAATTTGCATTGTGAGTGACAAAATCTCTGTGAGAATACTACAATACTTTCCTCCGAACTAAAAAAATACTTCTAACTTCTAGTTTGTTACTGAAAAGCATTAAATTTTAAAATTTTAAATACGTTAAAAGGAAGGAAGACACAAGCTGGGTTTACAGGTCTGCTGGGGACATTACATTGTCTTAAATTCAGTACCTGGAGACTGACCCAAACTTTTACCATTGTCACCTCTTGCCTAACCATAGCTTAACCCCTAACATTAACCTATTTTAACTCATTTGTGAATTTAAATCATGTTGCTGATTTAAGTCATGACGGCCTGATTTCTGTCCCCTCCGTGTACATTTGTGTACACAGATTTAGTCAGAAGGTTATAAATACCTGTCACAAATGACACATTAAGGTATAACATGTTACGTTAACAAATTACCAATCTACCAAGTCCAATAAAAAGTGCTTGAATCAGCTACAATGATTTGATTTGATTTTTTTGCTCTATTCAAATATACTTCCAAGTCAGCTGGTTCACTGTGCCTTTACCCACACTGCAGAGCTTATCAAGATATGAGCTTGTCTGGAGCGGAGACAGATTATATTGCGCGAGCACACCTCAGACTGAAGTGTTGATTTATTTATTCAGTCCTTTTTTAAACACATAGGCACTTTTTCTCTAAATTACCATAGAAACCATCGGATTTGGAGGTCAGCCGGATAAAGTCGCTGATGACAAAAAAAAACAGGCAAACATTTGATTCCATCTTGATTATAAATGGAGTCATTACAATCCCAGCATCCGTTAGCTCTGGCTGTAGAGATACATTTAGATGAGAGGTAGGCCAGAGAGGAGAATGCGTGGACATAGGAGAGTGGACTTTGGCCGATAACAAGACAAGGATCCAGTGAGCGCAGGTGTTTGTGTGTGTACTCTATCACAGTGGGTTTTCAAGGTCATTTGGCTGTTAACTTCTCATTGTTGAAGGTCTCCACACAGAAGCAGCAGCAGCTTTGGTCCATACTATTTCATGGATCTCAGCTTCCTGTTCCTGTTATATGCAACATTTTGAGGATTCTTCCCCATTAATAAGGTTTAAAGGTGCATTGTGTAACTTTTGTGGTGGAGTGTCCATGAAAAGTTTCTGTCCATGTAGATGGCATTGCTTTGTCTCAAATATTTCACAGTATTGTATTAATAAACCTTTTTTTGCTTGGAGACCAAACCAGACCAAGCTACAACTTAGCTGTGGACAGGCAACACAACTCACAGTGAGAATGCCTGTTTTTCCAGGACTTTTAGAGCTACAAAACCACCTGTAATTTAATAAATGTAAGGTTTAATGTCATACCGGGGAACATTCCAGACAGAGCACTGACATTTCCATAGAAACAAGCAGATGGCAAACCCTCCACCAGAAAAGTTACACAATGCACCTTTAACCGTTTTGTTTTAAATTGTTAATCACTATGGCAATGGTACTAATTTCTCATCTTTCTGAAACCCATGGATAGCTTATATTTGCATGGCATCACAACAGTGACAGTATAGTTTAAAATTGAGCTGGAGGATGGCTAGATTTCTACGGTGGAATGTGTTATTTGTTTAACTGTTCAGTTGTGCTATTATGATATTGCTTATGTTTAATAGCTTAACTAAAATTTATTATTATAGTTTTAATTTTAATTTTGTAAAGACTTGTGGGGATCCAATGAATAAATAAATAATTCTATCCTATCCCCATGAACACATCGTCACATAGTTCAATGTCTTCTCTGTCAGTATAAATAAACCTAAGTGATTTTTTTTCTCCACAATAGCCTAAGAAAGTGACACCATAATTCGCCTCTAAAGATGTGATGGTTGTCAGTTGCAATGACTTTAAACCGTAAGATTAATATGGCAACTTTGTGGAGCTAATCTCAAATAAATAATAATAAAGTTCAATGTGTGTGGATCATAAGTTTGGATATTTCTTTCAAAAACAATGAATCTACCATAGAGTTATACAATCCCTTGCCCTCCATCTTAAATTATAACCTCATCAAATCGTAGAATGCAACCTATTGGACAGATTATCCTGAAGAACACTGACACTTGGCTAACACACGCATCACTCACTTCTGATGGCTCAAAAAGACAGGTAAGGACAGCGGCACATCTGAATAGACAAGCGTGGAGACAGATGAGGCCCGTGCAGGTAGATGGAGAGTAATGAGAGATGGCAGGTTCACACACAAACAGATGGATCGTGCAGCCAGGCCGGGCACACAGCGCACACAGGCACAGGGAGGCTCGCCCACACCAATAATGAAACGCATCAAACTTGCATACAAATACGTCATTTCAAATGGTCTGCATGGGTGCTTTCCAGTTGGCCATGTGGCATATTGATATAATCCAAATAGCAACGGAGTGGTCAACTGGTTTTGTGGCTACCTGTGTCACACACTGAGCAGTTTTTGAAAGTTTTTGTTTTTTAGTTCAGTTTTTAACATGATATCGTGGGATTTTTAACCAATTAAGAAGTGCAGCATGTGCAGTTCAAAGGACACAAATAAGGACAGTTGAATTTTGTGAAAGGAGCTAACTATGAACATTTGAGATGCTACAGGCTTTTTACACCATATGTAGCAGATCTTCCAAAAGAAACACTTTGAAGGAATGGACCATTTTGTCACCAACCCAAACACCAGAGCCGAATAAGCAACTGCAACAATTTTCTGCAGCAAAACTTCAATTTCCCTCGGGATCAGTCTCTCTCTCTCAATCTCTCTCTTTCGGTAGTAGGTGCTCACAGGCTGGACAATAAGGCGATGAAAATTGAATCATGATACGATATGCTATTTTGGTTCAAATCGTGATTGTTGCTTTTGTTTAATGCTGCTCTATGGTTGAAAAGAGACACTTTCCACCACCCACTCCCGCTATTAGTCAGCCTCCACCAGGCTCTGAGTGAGTGACAGGTAGATATAATCACAGTGAAGACTAAACTTTCAGAAACAGCAGATACCTTTAGTTACCTTTTGAAAACTTTATAAAAGAAACAGAAAATGTGAATCGTGACAAAAATCGAAACCATGATCTGGTTCTTTGAACATTTTTTGGCATATTGCCCATCTCTACTTCAGACAGAGCAAAGAGGAGCTGGAGAAGATTTCTAGTCCCAATCTTTGTTTTAAGCAGGGCCAAAATTATCCCACTATCTGGTAGAAATTTGTTGTATTGCTAACAACAAATTTGCCAACAAACTCTACTCTGGCCTCTGAAAGTTGTGAAAAGCATTTATAAACTCATTGCAAAGAATAATTAGGATGCTTGGAATGCATAAGGTAAATGTGAATAACTTTTAAACCATTTAAATAGAACATTTCTGTTTTTCACATTTTAAGAAAGGAAATCAGGTACAGTATAGCACCTTTAATATTGAATTTGATAAGAAAACATTATTTGAGATTCACAGTAGATTTTGCAATGTAAGCTTTCGTACATTTTAGCTAAATGTTAATCAAATGTAAATTGGTTTTCTGATGACAGTGGCATTTTGGAGTATTAGACACAGATCACAAAGGCTGCAGTGACCAAACAATATTAAATAAAGTACTGAACTTCAATGTAATCTTTCTAATAATAAGTTCTTTCTAATATATGCAAACCATGACAAAGCTGATAAAGAATACAAGCTGAATTCACTTGATTTTATCCTTGTATCTATTATGTTACCTTTATGGCTAGAGCACGTGCTACAACTGCTCTGAGGTACTGCATTGGCTCCTCTGGCCCTTCCCAGTCTTGCTGCCATTTTAGAGGACACTGAAAAACAAACAAATCTTCAGTCATGTAACAGTCATTTGTCATAAGAATAACTGAATTTTTTAACACATCCTAGTTTTCTTGTCCTTTATCTGAATTACAAATTTTAATGACAAATGACAAAATGTGCACCATAAACCATTGTTATTATTGAGCGTATGATTATGAATACACATTAGTGGGAGGTAATGACTGGAAAAATGTGTGGGTTTATGAGTTGTCAACATGCCCAGAAGTTACAACACAAACAAGTCACTGTTTTTCAGATCGTCTAATCTTTCTCACAATCACTATAATTATTTATCAACCCACAATCATTTAGAGATTTTAACCACTTCCCCAGCCCCCACTATAGGAGGCCATTAACTACATGCCATTTAAGTAATATAGAATTTCACTAGTAATTGTCAGTTACCTCCTGATTGAGCAGAGCTGTGGCCAGTTTTTCCACCGCTGGAGTCAGCAGCTGTGTCCCCCGGATGACTTTACTCAATGCAGCCAGCGACTGATGGATAGTCTGCAAACACGGGAAGAACCAATGCATTCAAATCGTTGTTTCTTTTATGAATGTCAATATAAAACATATTACATTTGAAAAGTCTCTCAAAGGGATACACTGAAGTCATTACTCATTGACTCCCCACAACTAGAGGGAGCAAACTACTTCTGTAATCACTAGCAGGTAGGCTGATCGAGGCAAAGCTGCCACTCTGAACCACAACCAATCACTTAATCACACATACAGGGGTGAAGTGTCTTGCCAAATTACACAACAGCAGTTTGGACTTTTTGGAGCTATGACTGAACAGTCAACCTTGGGTAAGCAACCAAACGCTTTAATCATTGAGCTACTGTCATAGACATAAATGGACATATCTAACGTATTAGCCACCATGTTCCAAATAGGAAGTTTGCATGCAGGCTCTTCCGGTTCCTTCTGATCCTGGTTCCCACTGACTTACATTGGAATATTGTTGCCCCTCTCTCTGTAATCTGCTGCTGTCAGATTTATCATTTTGGTCTTAAAATGTTCGTATTAATGCTCTCTACATCTTGGAGGTTTTTTTTTCAGCTATTTTGTCTGTCAAAAAAGTCCTATTCCTAATATGGAGTCTGGCTCCAAATTCGCTCCTGTAACCGTTAACATTGCAAGCTTCATTTGAGTGGAGCCGAACACTATGGGTGATGTCACACTCGCTTAGTCCACTTCTTTATACAGTTTATGGCTATTGCCCAAATTTCTTCTGTTTTACCTTTACATGAAAGTGATTTGAACCACAACCAGCCCATTAATGATGGTATGTTATCACTACTACTATTAAAACATCGTATGGCTTTTCCATCTCATTTATTTCATTGGAACATCTGTGCCTTAAACATTCACATTATGAGAATAACGTTCCATGCCACTGAGTCGGCTTTTAGCTGTTCATCATTATTGGCACATGAGTTAATGCATTTAAATGTTCGTGCAGCGTGTCCTGATAGAATAAACTGTTTGGGTGCAGCTGCCACATAAAAGTGTTATCTGACAAACCTGAACCAAGTCGATAGCATTGAACTCCTCTAAGGCGATGAATGACTTGACTGGAGAGCCCTGACCCTCTACTGGTGGGGCAAGCTTCTGGTGGAGCAGAGCAGAACCCTGGGAGGCATATATAGCAGCTCTTAACATTAAAATAAACAACAAAACACTTAATAAGAGGTGTACATTAAATTTGACAAACATAAACCAGGTATGTAATTATTCACTCAAGTCATCATTTATTCTATAATAAATTTTAATAGAATTGCTTAAACTTTAGACTCAAAACTATACTATCAAAGTATTTAAAATTCTTACTATTTTACTATTTTATCTGGTGTGAAGCATTGCAATCTGTACTACCAGCCAGCCTTTTCGTTTATGAAACATTTCCAAGAAAAACAACAGCCAGAGCATAGGAGACAAATTGAGATGAATGAGTCAACAAGAAAACAGCGTGTAGAATAATTCTCAACTGATCTGCAGCTAAGCTAATAAATACAAGAAAACGAAATTGTCTGCAAGGGCTGGACCCATCTACTTCCAGACCAGACCAAATCAACCTACAGACAAAACAAGATTGAAATGCTAGACTCTGAAAGGTTATTGGTCAAAAAGTAGTGGCACACATTCCTTGACAATAATTGCAAAATAAATGGCAGGCTAAAAATGACAACAGGGGAGAGCTGCATACATATGTCACATAAAAGACTGAATGCCAACAGGGCGTGAAAACAGAAATACAGTACATTGTCTAAATTATTAAAAGTGGAGATGATTTGAAAAGATGCTTGTCTCCAGGCAACACAGTGCACTGCTGTACAACCACGCAAACCAGGGACTATCTCCTACAATGCTCAATTAGACAGCTAATTTCAAGCTTTAAATTAAATCAAATTAATTAAATCAAATGGACAATAAAATATCTACTTACTTAACAATGGAGAGACAAAACTGACCTGATTGAGTTTCTTCCACAAGTTGAGGATTGGTGAAAGCCCATTGGACCAAAGCTCCCTGTCGAACTTTGACCCCATAGCTACAGAGCGGCTGAGCACACGCAGCTGAGAAATAACCTATGACAAAAAACATGTAAAAACAAAATATTAATGGGCCTCCAGTGTGCTGAAATACTGCACGAAAGAATTTCATACAAAGGGAATGATTGACTAGTTCCAATAAGAGGGACACCATTTCCAATGAAATGTAATGTTTATCAAATTTTCAAGCTATTTTTGAGCTACAATCAATAAATATTAATAGATGAGACAAGCAAAAACCTCATAGACATTAGATACTACGGAAATGGTAGCACAGACTCTCCCTCTGACTGGAAGTGGCCAGCTGCCGTTGTGCACAGAGCCAATCAACCCTGTGAAACATTTGATTTGTTTCAATTGTTTTAATAAATACAGACTTACAGATACAGAATTTTACACTTGAGTTAGATAGAAGGATTGTATAGCTCAACTGAAGTGACATTTTCCCTTTGAATTAGTAGGTCAAATAAGACCAGTGTTTTGAAAAAAAATAAAAATAATAATTAATTGCAATGGGAAAATAGCTAATCTTTGTGAAACTATAAATCACAAATCTCTCTTGGCTACATACCTTTATTTTGCTAATATAGCAAATGAGAAAAGCCTAAATGTGTCTGCTAACAGCTCCTTACACACCTAATCAAGCACGCTTAGCTTGAGGCGCGGGCTCCTGGATAGCGCTTTTATCTCATGGCCTGTGTACTGGTCAGGTTGTGTGCTGTCTTCGTATGTGTGTGTTGAGAGGAAGGCAGAGTGTCTGATAAATGGCTTTCATTTGGTCCAAGAGAACTCTTTACTAACACCTGCTTTATCTTCTCTGCTCAGGAGGAGAAGTGGAGGAGTATGCAGCAGAAAGAGGGAGAGAGAGAGAAAGACAGAGAGAAGAGAGAGGGATAGAGAGATCGAGAGAGTGGTAGAGAGGGAAAGAGTAAAAGTGAGTAAGAGAGGATGTGGGGCACATGGGAGGAAAGGATAAAAAAACAGATGGCTAATCTTAAACTTCACCTGACAGCAGTGAAAATGAGGGCAGCCCAGGATGAGGAGTTCACTTAGATTGGGGCTCAAAGTTACATGACGGAATTTAAATTAAGATTTGTGCTATATTAAAATATGACGACCACCAGTCAGTGAATGCATTTGGTATGAAGAGGAGACATAAAAAAAATGATAGAGTAAGTCATATTATTTTGTCATAAGACTTTAAAAAAAAAATTGCCAATGGTTTCTGAACAAAAAAAAAAACCTTTGCCAACACGTTAGTAAACAAACTTGATATATTTTCAATTCCACTCGGTTTATGAAGACCTCAAACTGTCTCAGACTGTCAGAATGATGACAGCCCCAGTGGGAGGAGATTTGGGCTCATGTCAAACCTCTGGTCTTGTCATGCATGACACATGGAACTCAAAAAGTAAGTCATATTTTTCTTTTTTTTTTCCTGACATGTCTGATCATTGGCAAAACATCACCAATGCAACACCCATGGACCATTCTCCACATCTTAAGATAGGTTAATGGTTAGAAGTAACCAACTGGAGGATTCACCTTTTAGGAATATTCTCAAAATAATTTATAACAGAGCTGGCGGTCTACAATCTTCATACATTTCTATTTGTACTATAAAATTCAATGACAGAGCAAACATTACCCAGAGCTTCTGTCAGGTCATCCACATAGATTTTATTGATTGTTTTAAAAAGACCCCAATCTCATCTAGCAAAGCCAGCGTCTGTCTGCTGAGCTCAGTTAAAGGTGTGTGTAACTGACAGGGGTCTTGAGGGAGAGACAGGGGAATACATTAGAGGGACAATGACACACAGTGAGAAAGAAAGCCTGAATGTGACAGTGACAAATGATGCTAAAAGCGGAGATAGGTAGACAGCAGAAGCAGAGCACACCACACACACACCACAGGCCTTTAGGGAGTTCACATGGTGGGTGGTTTCTGTGATCGCAGACCACACTCAAGCTATGAATGAATGCATTAAAAGCAGCCGCATTAGTAATGGATTTAAGGTAGGGAGGCAAGAATAAGGATATAACACTCTTCCCTGAATTTAACGTGGACTTTGATAGCATAGCTGCCTCTCTGACCATCACCAATCACATTCATATTTAGCTACTGAGCTGCCCAGGTACACAACAGCATGGACATCTTAATTTATTTATTTACTTATTTGTATTTTCCTCCAACTACTTGCATGCTACTTCATATGCTTAAACTATTTGTATTCGGTTGTAACTGCGCATATTGACGTATGTGTGTTTAAGCGGACAGCAGAAAAAACTTACTGCCTGGTGACAGTAAATACTTGACATTAATTGGACTGAATTGTTTATATTTTCTTATTTTCCAGCTAAGAAAACCTTGTGTTGATTTGAGTTTACAAGTCAAGTATAAAAAAAATAAAGAATTCTGTTTTGCTCCTTGAAGTCCTCAAAGCCACAAAAGCCCAAAGCTCCATTCTATAAGATGTCAATGTGTTACTTTGAGTTGCATCAGAATCTTTACTGACAGACAGAAAAACATGATGCAATATTGTCCATGATACATAATCCTCAAAACACCTGTATAATGCATGGAGAATGTACCCACTGGGAATGTCATCTTTATGTGATTACTAAATTCTGCCATTGTTTGTTGATGAGTTAGTGCATTAAAGCGGATTTTTTTCCAACTGAGCTGTGAGCTAGTCATGTTTAAACTGTCTTGGTCAAAGCTGACATTTTTGGCACATTCCTTACATCCTTTTTCTTCACAGGGACAAGTCTTAAGCATCTTTTTGTTTTATTATTATTTTTTTTAACAACTTTCAGGGACCAAAGAGGAGTTTAAAGGGCCTATACTATTTTCTGATCTATGTTTCCTCATCAGGAACATACCTGCAGTTTTGTTTTCCTTCATTCACTCATGTTTAACACACAAACCCTGCATATTTAGGCTGAGTTCTTCTCTCAAACAGAAAACACTCTGTTCCACCTTATGGTGTCATGCGGTAATACAGGAAGTGTTCTACTGTGTTTTTGAACTCCATACATCTTGACTAGAATTATTTGGCTGATTTCGGCCCTGGCATTACCAATCCCTACTGAAAGAAAGGTAAAAGGTAGCTGTTAACTTGAAAACTAACACTTCATGACATCACAAGACGGAACAGAGCAGTTTAAGCTTTGGAAATGTAGACAAACTAATAATGAAGTACTCAAACGTGTGAATGAAACAAAACACAACTCCAAGTATGTTTTGATGAGATAACAACAGCATAACATGGCTTAAAGCTCATAAGAGTCCATTTAGTGTAATACAGGACCTTTAAGGGTCATCCTAACAACTACTTTGCCTGCCAACAGTGCTCCAGTGTCTCTAACATAACTTTATTATAGGTATATCATAAGAGCAGCTCTCACAACATGCTATTCTGGGCTAAAACACACTTTACTCTCTTATAAGAAAAAAGTGAGCACAGCTCCTTTTAATATATGACTACATTTAAAACAATCACAAACAAAGCTGTGAACAGATCTTGAAAAGTCTAGGCAAAATTTGAGTAGAGCATTGCATGATAAAGATAACGCCTTAAAGGAATTGTATGTATGATGAGTATCTCAAATGGGTTTCCAATTTCAAAGCTGAAATCCAGTTAAACCTAAAATAATGCTCTTTGATCTGAATCATCACTATCTTCAGCCAATCATGAACCTTTCATATTAAGTACGGCTTGTCCATATACTGAGAATAAGAAAAACTTAATTTGTGATTGTAGTTCCTTTTTTTTAAAATCTGTATTAGCACAGGCTACATAATGTCCCTTTAACTGAGATCCACCATGTGCCATCTTTCTCTTTGTAAGCCTGAATGAGGTGAACATAAGGACTATCCTGTGTTTTTATGTTTTTATCTGTGTGCAGCAGAGCAGGAGTGCGTGTGTGAATGCACCTGAGAGCTGACGATCCGCTGGGAGGACCTCTCGATGTTGGCTGGCAGACCAAAAAATGCCGGCCTGTCGTCCTCTGGGAGATTCGCAATCACACCGCGGTAGTCCTGGGAACACACACCTCCACAGGTCAGACACAACAATGCAGTCTCATTCACATTTACAGCTCATCAGAGCCAGGAGTTTGCAGGTGATAGTAAGATATTTCAAGTGCCATGCAATAACATCTGGTAGGTAGAGCAGAACAATTTGGGAAAAAATTAGATTTTTCTGGAAAGCATGGCAATTTATGTTTTGGTCCTATATTAAACAAAATTGAGGTTTTAATCCTGTTGGAATGTTGTTAACTCCTCAAAAACATACCTGGAGTTGTGTTTTGTTTCATTCACACATGTTTGATTAATTAAAACTCTAAATGCTCTGTTCTGTTCCACCTTGCGATATAGCAAAAGTTTTCAAACAAACAGCTACCTTCTACCTTTTGTTGAGTAGAAATTGGAAATTCTAGAGCTGAAAGTATCCACATGATTCTAATGAAGGCATATGGAGGTTAAAAGCACAATGGTGCACTTCCTGCATTACCACATGACATCATAAGGTGGAACAGTGTTTTCTGTTTTAGAGAAAAAAACTCAGCCTAAATATGCAGGATTTGAGTGTTAAATTTGTGAATGAAACAAAACGCAAGTCCAGGTGTGGATGAGGAATAGTGCAATAACATAAAATTTGCCCTTTAAACATTTCCAGAGGAATTGAGAAAAATACTGGAATGTGAGCAAGAATCACATTTCAGAACATGTTTGAACTACAGGGTAAGCATTTTTTAAGCAGATTAAGATGGGATATTTAGTTGTTTGAGGAGGAAATTATGGTACGTTATGGACCTCTCTCCAGAAAAGTTGCAGTGAGTTATGTTGTGTAAGAGTAGTTTATGTTACGTTATGTTTTGCCTACCAAAATTGAACAGGAGTTAGGTAGAGTAATTTGCGGTGGGAAGCCCCTCACTCCCCCTCTGTTCTTTCTTTGTCCAGCTGAAGAGGAGAGCAGGCGCGCTGAGAAGAACTGCTCCAGGTAGGACCGGAGGATGCGCAGGTCAGACGGATTATCAATGCGCCCGCCGTAAATGGCACATTCAAACAAGCCATGGATGAACTCCCATTCAAAGGCTTTACCACCTTCAAGGCAAAAGAAAAAGTAGAAATTGCTTATGAAAGGTAAACATAATCATAGTACAATTATAACAATTGAAAAAGCTGAAGTCCAAAAAGAACCAACCTTCGAAAAGTCTGTCAATAATTTCGTAACCAGCCCGGAGGTCCGACAAAGAAAACTCATAGAATTTTGTCCAACCCTGAAAAATAGGCATGCATTTTTGTGATAAACTTCACAAATTACATTATCAAAATAAACGTTCATTTATAAATACAATGTTTACAATCATACAGAGTTTAAAGGTATTATTCTAAAGATGAGAATGATCAACTTGCACACATTTAGGTCAAGGGTTTTATGAGATAGCTTGTCAATGAAGAAAGTACTGGTAGCACATGGAAGTGAAAATTACTCCATTTAGGTCTAAAAACGCTTTGGTAAATTACCCATACAACTATCAATGGTGAATAAATAAGATATATCTGTGTCAGCCATGACTGAGCCCAGAATAAAAACAAGGAAAAGAGTGTTTCAGTAAATAAGTGGGTGAAGAAATAATGGAACAGCACTGCTAGCTTGTATAAAAGATGTAATGGCTGAAGGGCCAAACAAAGATAAGCCCTCTTACACTGCATATCCTTAAGTACAATCAATGTGTATTTTCCCAAATGAGGCAGAAAAGGCGAGGATGTTTATAGGGGCCGCCTGGGAGAGAGTCTAAAAACAGTGACTGGTGAGAAGTGGATACAGGAGGAGGAAGTTGAGGCAAGTAATTACAAGAACATGTCCCTTCCCAAAGTTGTCTGGAGTCTCTGCTGGCAAAGCAACAAAATGAGATTGTACCCAATAAACTCCAACACATCAGCGCAGCACGCAAGGAGACAAATTAGTCCCACTGAGACATGATCGACTGTGCTCTATACACCTGACAAGCAAAGCAAAACATGACCAAAACTGCAATGAGCAATGAGCAGGTACCACTCTGTTTTTAAGCATTACCATTTCAAAAAACATAACCTTGATGTGATCTACTTTTGGTTAAATATTACAGTATTTGCCTATTTCTAAAACAATATAAGTCACAGCTGTCAAAACATCATGAATAATGGAAATATTCATATCCACAATTATCATTTATTTATACATGTGTTTGTCACAGCTGTACTGTACTTTGGTTTAAAATCCACATGCTGGCACCGAGAGACAACTGATCTAAAAAATCCACTGTTGGAATATTCTAGGCTCACACCAGTAGGTAGTGTTTTATTACTGAGTGTTTGCACTGTACTTTTGAAATTATTCATTTTCATAGTTTTGACATTGTTATGGAAAGGAACTCGGGACTGCAACATTGAAGAGTGTCAGATCTGAAAGTGTAAAAATGTTCAAGGGCTCACAGTTCTCCCTGATTTTTTATTTAACAGCACAATTAAATTTGGGGTTCTAAGTAAGAACTTTTCTTGGAATTTTCAGTTCAATTAAATTGTCTTTAAGTTACAGTGAAAAGTGCTATATAAAAATTTATTTATAAGTCAGACACCGCATGAACAATATGCACTCAAGGCAAGGTGTGAGCCAGTCTCCATTTGAGGAGTGTGCACTTACCCAGTACACCACTGTCCCCCACTAAAGAGTTTAGTTTAAAGAGGAAAATGATGAGACCATGGTTTAACTCCAATATGTGCTGTCCTGTCCCATTAGATGTGAATGGATTTAATGGTGCGTGTTTACCTGGGGTATGTAGTTACGTCTCTCCTGGCAGACAGCATGGAACCAGGCCAGGCAAAACAGACTCTGAGCCCTTGACAGAACTCCCCCTGTGAGAAAAATGGAACAATTTAAAATAATGAAAACGAGAACACTGGAATTTCACCAAAGTAAAAAAAAAAAAAAAGTTCAAACCTTTACTGATCTGTTCAGGAGTCCAGGATTCATATGTTCTTAAAAGATTCTTTTTTAACCCAGGTGGAGCCTAGAGGAGAGGAAAAGGGATGTTGAAAATCTTTTGGTGTGTACTGCAAGGCAAGTGTCTCTATGAGAGGGGAGTAAGATGTTTTAGAGCCACTATTAAGAATATCCTTTCTTTAAGAGTAGACATTGCAGTGACAGCCTTTTTCCGCTCTGTAGTAGCACATTTTGTCCAACAATAGAACTGAGTTTATGCTGAAAACAACAAGCCTAGAGTGACATAGAGCTTACTTCAAAGTTTATGTAGTCCAGTGTGCTTTATTTTCATAAGGACAAAAAATGTGGCCTGTGAAAACTGTCTAGGATTTGATCTCTATCTCCTGGTAAGCCTGCTTTCCTCCACAGTGTGAACGCACTAAAAATATGGACCATCATAAAATGCTTGATACTGCATGGTTACGTAAATCATATGGCACCATTAATATACTGTGTATTTACTTAGCACTGCTATATAATACAAAGAAGTCAGGAAAATATATGTCCTGAAATGCACAGGGGCTTTTCTATCTATTTTCTATATACTAGTACTTACTTTAATGAATAGTCTTTTATTGAGTTTGTGAAAAGTAACTGTAACTATTGTAATACACATATTTATTTCACCACTCAATAAATGTCACAGTGACAAATTAAAATCACAGCTTATTTATTACAGTGCCATAAATCCTCCAATAACCTACCTTGGCAAATCTTTACTATCCTGCTATTACTCTCAGTCAAAAAACCACTGCGGATATTGTAGCATTTGCAGCATATATGCAAAACTATCTGACTATAGCAGCTTCTTGTCGTATGCTTGACTGAAGATGCAGCTAACCCACGAACCCACAGCGAGTCTTAAAGCATGCATTAGTGACAGTCTGGCTACTGCTTTAGTATCTCTGTGTGTACAATGAGGTCAACCCCACCCACCATTCCAAGACCCTGCAGTAACTGAGAATACCTCATAGGTGATCTTGAGGCTGATTTCAAGCAAGATCAGAGGAAACCTGGGGTGAACTTCTGCTGTAAGCCAAAGACGGAAGCCTGGTTTGGGTTGCAGTGCATTCAGTTCCTGTGTGGAAATTGCATTATAACAAAAGAGACCAAGCCTACATTTTACAAGGTCAAACACTTACTTAAAAAGGAAATTACAATACTGGCCCTGTGATTAAGACAATGCATTTGTACTGTATTAATACATTAATAATAAACAGTCAGAATGGAAGTTTGGCAGATGCTTCAATTGTACATGCATAATCTAAAACTCAAAATTTAGTGGTATGGTATTGCTGTAGCAGAACAGTGAAGTATTTTGGAGTAACTCGTGATTTGTTTTCTTATTTTATTTATTTTTTCCCCAAGCATTCCCCTAGAGAATCACAGATAAAAATAGCAGTCTGGCACCTTGGGGTCTTGAGACATCTGATTGGGTACTTAGCCCCACTGCTGTAATCAATGTATTTCTGCATCATTTGGAGGCTATTCTCATGGAAGATCACTCGGCTATGAATAACGTGGCTCTAGCTGCTCGAAGAAATGAGTGCTTTCATGTCAGCGTGGGGCAAAATTTCACTGGAAGAATCATATTAATTTTGTTCTGTTTGATGAAAATGTACAGGATAAAGTACAATTGAACAGATGGGCATAGAAGCTGTAAAAACTGAGTTGCTGATAAGCAGGAGTGGAAAGTAACCAGTAATACTCACGTTATTGTAATTTGGTAGATTTTTGGGGTAAGTGTACTTTTTAAGTAGATTTTTAAACGTGTACTTGTGCTTTAAAGTATTTTGGAGAGTAATTATAGACATGCAATTGGAATTAGTTACATTTCAAATCACAGAACTGCAAATAAAAATGTAATCCATGCTCCTTTCTACAAACCAACAAACACAAATAATAAAACTGCATTTCCTGCTGAGTGGCTGGAGCTCCAAGAATACACAGATAGCAAATTTTAAAAACTACCAGTAAATACTTCTAAAATTGTGTTAAAAAGTACTCTGAGTAGTATTTTTCATGTATACTTTGTGACTTAACTAACTGAATGCATTATTAGCCATGCAACTGTACAAATGTTCAGCACTCTTTTCACCAGCAGTTGTAAGACAAAGCTGCTGCCTGGTGTGGCGTTTCCACCTGTCTGCTGAAGCTATGCTAATCTTTACACATTTCACATGGGCTGTCTTCATTCTTTAAGCTCCCTGCCTCCTTTTGTTCCCCTGGCTGTGCTGCTTTTTCCATTTCAAGCATGACTGCCGAGACCTCATCTTCATCGGGCGGAGGGTAAGGGCCGAGACAGAGACAGGAGGCGGCTGTGAGCTTCAATTACGTAGAAAAACACAATATAAGACAACTGCTCTTCTAACCATCGCCATAGTGAGTGGATACATGGTGTGTGGATACTCGACAAATGGAGGTGAGGAGCAACAGTTATTTGTATGACCTGTCACCTGCAGTATATGACTTTACAATGTGACGAGGCAAGCAGTTTTTCCCCATAGCTCAGTCAAATCCAGAGAGGAGCACTGCTCACACTGTTGATATACATAACCTGCCTGTTACTAGTCCTTATCCTGAATTACATTATGGTCTTCCATTGGCTTCCTTGTTCCACATTTGACCACATGCTCTTTCTGAAGCAGCTTTTACCTGAGCCTGAGACAAACACAAAGCATAAACTAATTTGTGATGCAATGTGGCTATATTTGGGTTTTAGAAGACAGCACAATATACTATTATATTATATTGGCCACTACATATACTATATAGTGGCCATACCGGCTTGTCAAATCCTGATCCCGTCAGACCTCAGAAGCTAAACAAGACCGGGCCTGGTTAGTACTTGGATGGGAGACCGTTGGGAAAATCAGGTGCAACAGTAGGGCGCCAGTCACAAAAACAGTTGTTGTGTCCTTACGCAAGACACTTCACTTACATTGCCTAGTATGACAGTGGTGTGTGTGTGAGTGATGGTGGTGGTCGGAGGGACCGATGTCGCCAATTGGCATGGCAGCCATGCTTCCATCAGTCTGCCCCAGGGCAGCTGTGGCTACAATAGTAGCTTAACACCACCGGGTATGGAATGAATGAATAATACTGAATAATGCTCTGTAAAGTGTCTTTCTGACATTTCTGTGAAAAGCGCTTACTTAAAAGACTTACTTACTTATTATTCTATAATTCTATAATATTCTATAGCTCAGTCATATTTAATACAGATGGGGGCAAGCAAAAAATAATATAGTTAAAATTCAGATTTTTTTTTAATGTAATATAGGCAAGTTTTGCTTTTTGGGTTTTTCATGACAAGTACTTTTACATTTTTTTTTACAAACACACAACTCCAGATCACAGCTTCAATTCAAGTAAGGAAATACTCACATGAGCACACGAACAGCACAATGACTAACAGGAGCTGACATTAGAATACACTAGTGTATGTGAAGACAAAGGACAATGGTAATTTTAGAAAGGCTGTTGTGTGTGGTGTAAGCCACTGAGCAAACTCACTGTGATGAGAAATTACACGCAGGCTTTAAGAACAGAACATCCCCAAGGCACTGGCATCCACTGACCTTTCTCTATCATAACTCCACCTATTCTACACAAGATAATTGGGGTTTAATGAAGCTGTGTTCATTAGGTGCTGAATAAAAATATTTGCATTATAACAATAGATAGTATTGCATTTTATAAATTAATCATGGGTTTAGACAGCTTTATATAGGCTTTCCAAAAACACTAACGACTATTTTAGTAATTAATTATAATGGCCAAACCTATCTATTCAGTCAGAGTTGCAAAAATGATTTTATCAATAATTGAATGATTTGCTAGTTTGCAAACCACTTTTATAGTAAGTGGCGGTACCAGTAACTTTTACAAGAAATGTCCTTTGTGTTTAGGGCACTTTACAATTATAGCATTATCAAGTGACTATATTTGTTAAGCTATATTGATTCAAACATTGAAATTTTAAAAAGCTAATAAAATTGGCTACCTATATACCTATTAACTATTGACAAGTCTTCCGATGACCCAAACCCACAGGGCAGCACCAATACTGTACTTACTTTTTCTAGCAGTGGGAGCCATGTAGTGACAAGGTGAAGGTTTTTCAGGCAAAGCCAGTCTCCATTTCGCGAGCATTCTCTCAGAGCAGCTAAGGCCACATCAGCCTGGCCCTGACCCATGGAAATCTAGACAGACAGCAAGCAGGGGCACAGGGTGAGAATCAGAGGCAGCCAGATGGAAAATTTGATTCTCCATTGTAATTCCACTAAAGTCGAGGGCAGAAAATGTAATTCACTATTATAATTCTCTTATATTCAGTGACACGGACTGAAAAACGCTTACAAAGACAGTTTTTATAATGTAATTTTGAACGGTGTCAGTTCATGCATCAATCATATCGACACTCAGACACCAATAAGTAATGATTGATATGACTAGTTAGATGGGCTCACCACAGAGGGAGGCACTTCCACAAGTTTAGTTTGATCTGAATTGAATTGAAGGAACTTGAGATTAGTTATAACTGTAGAATCAAATGTTTTATCCTCAAGTATTGGCTCTCCGTCTGCAGGTGTAATCTTTTAATCTGGTTAGAGTCTACCTCATGATAGTTCTCTCTTCCCACAGTCTCTGCAGCCAGCTCTGCCAGCTCCTGTGAGGGATCTGCCCCCGGAGAGATGATGATCAACACAGGCTCTCCTTCTAAAGTCTCAGCAAAGAGCCGCCGGAGGTTCAGGGGTGGAGGCGAGAGCTCCTTCATACCTGCGAGCACAAATCACACATAGGGCATAATCAACATAATGAGTTACCGCAGTACAAAAAGACATAAACGGGCAGGTTCAACAGTGACAAAGCAAGGGCGCACCAATCTCATCGTCAACAGAGATGAGTAGAATAAAAATTGTACTAAATTAAAAGTAACAAAACTTCAAAGTAATATTATTCAAGTAGAAGTACAAAATGTTTGTTTTGGTTGGTCTGAGAAAGAGTAAAATGTTTAGGGAAATTATTACTCAAGCCAGAGTAATTATATGATTTAATATCTGGACATGACAACAGATTTATAAATTTAAGTTAATGGGAAAGACAAAACAGAATCTGGAATTTTCAAGGATATAGCACAAAAAATAGAAAAACAAAATCAGATCTGAAGGAGCAGTGCAAGAAACACAAATCATTTAATACTATCGTCATAAAGCTTTTGTCATTTGCAGACTTATTCGAAGTGGGAGGAGTAACCAAAACCTTTACTCAAGTGAGACTAGTAGACTCAAGTAAAACTATCCAGTCCAATAAGTAAGAAGTAGAGTTTTTTTTAAGTGTTACTCCAGTAAATGTAAGTGAATTGAGTACCCACCAGTGCTTTCAAAAGTAGAAAAATAGGCAAGCAATAGATAATTTCAAAATAGCTGTTCTGGAGGTATGAAGAATTAGAATATGAAGAATATCAATTATAATAAAAGTGCCAGAAGCTGCAAAAAACAGTTAACGACATTAAATAAATCAATTATTTAGTATTCAGACAAGGGTATTAAGTAATTCTTCTGCACGGTTGTAATTTTAGTCTTTTTTTTTTTTTTTTTACATTTGTACAACACTGGAATATCGTCATTTTAACAGGTTTCTGAAGGATTGCAAATCTAATTCTGATTCATTTTTTGTCAATATCACCCACCTCGGCTTGTCTCTACAAATCTATCCATTTGTGCGTGAGCTTATCGAGGATTATGTTTCAATCTTGCTGTAAAGTACTGCATACACATCAGATAAGCATTAATACGGCACAGATATCCGTGAAGCCCCATAACGGAGTAGACTTTTCCATGAAATCTACTTGAATGCTAATTAAGACCACAGGATCATACGCCACTGCCCACGACTACAGACTTATCTGTCAGGTCCAAAATTCTGTTAGTGCCTGCTGCCAAATGCAATCTGCAGCACTCAAGAACACATACAGTACATGCACTCACACAAGGTCCCGGCACAGAAATCTCAGAGTGACCTTTTCTCCCATCGCCATAGCAACACTAAGAAAAACAGTGGTCTGAGCGCATGCCTTGTGATGTCTGGCTTCAAAACAAGGGCTATTTACAGAATGTGTGCGCATACACCTCTGGCGCGGTCTGGTCATCAGCATTCATGGGGGCAAACCAACTTCACCTCTGCGGTCACCTTGGATTCAGGACGCAATCAGACTGAAGGGATCATAAAAGCAATGGCATTTCACACAACACTTAAAGCAGATGTGTATTATATTGCAAGTGTCTATACTGTATTTCATATCTAATAACATTTATTTCAGAGCAGAGAAACATCCCAGCGGTGAGTTGGTCCAAATGTGAGTATCCGGGCGGGTTCAGCCAGGCATGCCCGCATGCATGAGAGTGGTGCCCAGGCCTGGACTAGGGAGAGACTGAGATTAGCTCTAAGAGGATTACAGAGCATGCCTCATTAGCATACTGATTCACTGCCAAAAACATACACATACGCACTAAATCTTCTCCACATTCTGTTTTCTCCATTGCGTTCTCATACAAACAAACTCTCTGCAGTTCAGTGCACTTGTACACAACAACCACTCGCTCAATGAGGTTAAAGATCTCTGGTATAAAAGTGTAGCTTTGTATGTATGTAATTGATGGGGCTAAATCCACTAATCATGAATAGTCAACTATGAAAAAATCTGTTGTATTTTGATCACTATCTGAATTATAAAGTCTCTAAAACAAATACAAAAAGAGGACAGTAGTAGCACTGATAAATCAAAATGTCAGAAATCTAATTTTCAGATTTTCATCAATAACACATTTGGAAATAGTTATTAGTAGTATTTAGTGTTAATAATGTATTTAACAAGTCTCAGTGTTCAATAGAATTCATTGCTGAGTAATCACTACTAAAATAATTAGTTGCAGCCCTAATATTTAATAACTATGAAACAAAACTAGCTTACTTCAGTGAGTGCACTTGTTCTCTTGATATATGTTAGAAGAAAGTCAAAGAACAATCTTGACAGAAAAGCGTGAGGTACAGTAGGTCATCTTCTGCACCCAGGTGAAAAAGACACATTCAAGCACAAAAGGAGTATTATTAGCCCCTTGTAACAGCTGCGCAACAGCTGACACTGAGTTTGAATCAATACAGCTTAGCAAAGCAGTGACAGCATTCATTTGAACCTAAGTGCTCTCTAAGATTCTGTCCATTCACATAAATAAGACTTGGTGGACTTTCCATAAGGGAAGCTTGCATTTTAAGGATGACTAATGTCTCATAAATACTTGAACTTGTCCCATTTGACAAATATCCACATCAATGAACCCTGTACATTAGTTCCACCTGACACCAATTAGTAGTGTAGCAGATAGAGCAGTCAAAAGCTAACACACAATTAGGATTATCTGGACTAAATGAATGGCCTCATTAACCACAATAAAGCAAGAAGTCCCCAGCAACACCACTGCGTATCAGTGGTGGGAAGACTGGAAAAATGGCTGTATAAAATAACAAAACACTAAATAGTCAACATATTTGAATAACTGTAATTACTGTTACAGAGAGATTAAATTTTATCCACCAGATTTCCTAAAAATTAGTTAGTTACTTAAAGTATGTTTATGAAACTTACACAAAGCTTGAGAGGCAAAGGCGACCATGGCACTCTGTAGTCTGTCTGGTCTGATGGCTTGGACCAATAGAAGCTGGAGAGACAGCAGAATATTATTTGTGTTTAATAATTCAATAAGTAACAGAAAAGCAAATAATACCCATTTCAGATTCACATTTAAGTCACTTTAAGGGTCTTGAAAGGAGATATATAAACCCATTGTATTAGACTGCACTCGCAACACTACTACAACTGCACGGGCATATATGTAAAACAACTACTTGTACAGCACTGTGTTTCAGTGCAGTACTGAAAGTACTTTGTATTTATATGAAAAAATGCAGATAAACTCATGATTCACTTTCAACTTTTCAGCCATCTCACTACATACCTCGCTGTTGCTGCTGTCTCATTTAAATCCTTCAAATCTCAACAAAAGAATAAAGACTAAAGGACAACAGTCATAGATTGTATTATGATTATGATTATGATTATTAAAACCTGACCTGTTGGAAAGCTGTAATCTTCTTGACAATGGAGGGGGGCATTTCCTGTTCACAGTGGGAACTTCTAGAGAAGGACTGCCAAAGATCTGCATCATTCAAATACAGGGACTGATAGAGGGCAGGGAAAGTCGCCTGTTCAGGACAAAACAAAAAAACATTATCAAGTCCACATATTAAATCCTGAATGTTTATTTTGAGTAGTTACTTTGAGAACTGCCAGCGCTGCATGTCTTTCCTGGTCGATCCAAGACGGGAATTCCTCTTTTTTAAACATTTCTCCAACAATGGACCCAGTGAATACATCCCACTCCTGCAAATATGTTGAAGAAGTTTACTTTGAACCAAATATTTTGTGTACATAGTGCAGATAGATTAAAGTGCCAACTGACATTTTCCTGGAAAAGCTCTGGGTGCATCCCTTTAACAAAGTGCACGGCGAACATCAGCTGATCTGCCTATAGGAGAAAAAGGGAGAAAATATTGCACATTTCAAACTTTTGTGGCATTTTGTTTGAATTGTCAACTGCACTAACCAGATATGAGTATTTATTTTCCAAAACAAGAGAGTGCAGCACGCAATTCCTCTTAAAAGATACTGCATGTTTTGGAACGTTAAGCACTGTAGTAAACAAATTAGCCTTGGTATTTAGAATAACGGTTATCACTGCCAGGCAAAACCTCCCTTTCCTTGTCTTTCAATATTTATGTATTTGCTTCTTATCTGGGTAAACATGTATAAAATGTGGTTGACACAAGCTTGGCAAGACAGACTTAGAATTGATGAGCAATTGGGGCTTATGAGTTTTTCGAGCACTAATATTTTATGAGAGCTTTTAGTATGTCTAGTTAGGCTGGATCAATATCTTATTTAGTTGATTTATCCATGTTATTAAGGGTAAGTAGTGATTTGCAAACACACTCTTGTACGTTAAACAGTAAAGTTAATGCAACATTCAAATATATAAATGGCTTTTAAAGTATACACAGCATGCACATAGGGGTGTCTCTTCTTTATCTGTCAGTCCTACATCCTGACATAATAACAGTATTTTGTTCAAAGTTCACATTTTAAACATGTCCAGAAGAACTGACAAAAAATACGGTAATGTGAACTGACAAACTAATACAAGAATCACATTTCAGAACATGATGTACAAATAAACACAACAAGATTAGCAGTTTTTATGTAGACTGAGACAGGATTTTTTGTTGTTTGTGAAATAAGTTATGATACTTAAAAAATGACAATCTTTGCAATTTGATAATTTGCTAAATTGCGTATTCAGTTGCGATTAACCTTGCAGCTCTAGTACATCCCTTTCTGTTTTATTGTCTAACGTTATCTTAGGCCACTTTTCTCCGGACTGTTATCTCTAAATAGCATGCTTAATGTTGTTGACAAGAATACTGATACCATAGTTCATTGTTTCCTATCCGCTAATAACAGAGCTCCTAACTAATGTATGCCAGTGCACATTTGCCAGATAACCTATAAGGGACTGACAAGATCAACATCTAAGAGCCACCGTGACATTGCCTGTGGCTGGTGCGTCATTACCATGCAGACAACACACCCACATCCTCACATGGGGACAAAAAGAAATTGCATTTACCATTTACGGCCTAATCAATGCACTGATTGCAGCGTTGGTCAATATTTGACACTTCATTACTGTGTTGGTTGATGTGGCTTGATCGCTAAATGTGTTCATGCCTGTGTGCAATTTAGCCTAAAACAAAACTATAAAACACTTCATACATGACACTTGACAAATCATTTCATATAAGGTTCTGTATGAGAATGAGATTACAAAAACTAAAAGGGTTCAATTGTATTTCATTAGGGATGTAACAATAACCAACATGCTGTGATATTGTATCATCAAAAGTCTCACAATAACAGCATAATATCTCAAAGTACAAGCATCTTTACTTAAATTCATTGTTATGGAGCTGCATAAGCTAAAGAGGGAACTGCATATACCATGATCCTTTATTTCTATTTCAGGGCAGACTACATATAACAGAAATAATGTTATAAAGTGCTATAAAGAACTTTTAAATCTTAACTCTTTGGATTATGATAGAACCAAAGGCTTGTAAAGGCATTTATAAAAAGAAAAAGTGGCACACTGACTGTTAGCCTCCACAAAATATTGCAATAAATATTGTGCTGTGAGAGGTGCATTGTGAAAATATTGTACCAAGAGTTTGGGATATCATTACATTGTTAAATTAAACGTTCCATCTTATTAACATACAGTAATATTAGTTAGCTACTTTGTGTTAGAGAGCAAAATGATCATGCTTGTTTTTATCTTATGCTGGGGTGTTTAATTTGCTAATGAAATGTTCTCAAAAGATTAACTGAAATGTTCTTTGACTTAATAATAATCGTTGTCTATTTTAATAATTAACTGTAATCTGGATTACTGATTCTAAAAATGATCCCAAAAGATGTTTTATCATAAAATTTCATTATGAAATTATAATTTCATAATAACGTTTATTCGAAAACATTCACTATGTATAAATCTATAGTTTGCATACTTGCATCTAATCTGGTCAAAAAGTATAAAAAGAAATGTGCAGTAGCATTAACTGTTTAATAGTCGACTAATTGAAAGAATATCTGACTTGATGACTACTACAGTTAGTTGTAGACCTCTTAATGAATACCTTAAACAGTGAGCGACAGACATATTCATACACCATATTTGTAAGGTTGGTCTCCAGAGCAGAAATTCTGGCCTCAGTAGTCTCCATTTCCTAAAACCCAAACAAAAAACAAAATATATTAAAAATCTGTAAATATTAGGTTAAGTCTAACTATGTCACAAAGTGGTCAATCACTCAATTTATTATATTGTTGATGAGCCCATACCCAGTTTTTTTTCCATGTATTTGAGCAAAACTTTTCTTGCACCAGTACAGATATAAGCAGCTCTTGAGGGCAAAGTTATATCTGCTGCGTGCTGTCTGCATCTAATTATAAAGGTTTTTATTGATCGATAAGGAAATGTGCAACAGCATGGTAGTTTACCGTGGTGGCAAAACTCCACTCTGGTCTCTGAAAGTTGTGAAAAGCGCTTATATACTCATCATGGTAAATACATAGGATGCTTGGAATGCATAAGGTAAAGGACGGATAACTTCGAACAACTGCAAAATGTTAGAAATGAAATAGTTCTGTTTTTTCACGTTTTTAAGACAGTAAACCTCGAGTACAGCACCTTTAAGCAATTGAGGAAGGTTGTGCACTTTTCTTTCAAGTGGCCAAGAGATTTTACATAGCCCTTGAGATGATTTTATTATATTATATCTAATCACCACTTTGAGGATATAATGTCTCCATTATCCTTCACCATCAATTCAAGAAAAGTCACTAAACATTTCACTACAATTTGCGCACAGAGTCAATGAGTTCAATAAACAGCCAACAAGAGAACAGGAGAATGAGTCTGTAAATCAATGCAGTGCTCTGAGTGAATGAGCCTTCAGAAATACCTTTGCACACTTTCACATAGACACAGTGTTGACCAGCTGCTGTCTGGTGACGTTCCTGGATAACAGCACTAGCTGTAACAACCCTCAAAGGATTTTGAGGAATTAGTGTTCAATCGCTCAGTGTGCGTCTGTGTAGTGTGTGTGTGTGTGTGTGTGTGTGTGTGTGTGTGTGTGTGTGTGTGTGTGTGTGTGTGTGTGCGTGTGTGTGTGCGGGTGTGCTTCAGTTATCAGGCAGTGTTACAGGCTCAGATGGGGCAGAGCAGAGACAGACAGAGCATGATTCTGTCCAGCTGCACAGGTCAAAGAGCGATAAACACACACAGCCAAACAAATGAACAAAATAAATCAACCCACAGAAGGTCGCTATAGTTCCCCATTACCGTTGAAAACAAACAGATTAGCAATAAATAAAGTCAAATGCCAACTGCGCTTAGAAAATATAGCCTATATAGAATAGATACAAACAAACTCTTTGCAAAGTCAGTCTCAACTATCTTGTAAATGTTATAATGATTATGTATTATGTTGACAATGAAAGCTGTACAATATATATTTTTAAAACTTTATAAAGGTGGTGTATCACATCTGGTTCACGGTAGTGACCCTGAATACATTTTTTTAAAAAAAAATGTTTAGAGTAAACTACGGCTTCATGAAATTAAATATTATTTGCAAATAATTTAGTTTTATTTCTTCTGATGAATTTTCAAACAGAAATGCAACAGCATAACATATGGCATTCTAAATCATCTGAGTGGGAGTGTGGCATCACTTTGTGTCCTTGGTGCCATGTCTTGCACCCTTGAAAGGTGGTAGTTTTAGTTCTCTCAGTTAAACATTTGCATATTTTTGGTTAATAACAAAACACAAATATTCGCCAATGTAGTAGCATTTACCTTCTTAGCCTGCAAAGCTCTCTGGAACAAGCGCAGGAAAGATGCCAAGCTGAAACGGTACATGTTGTTGATCCTTGACAGGTCTGTGATGACGAAAAACATTTTGCTGGCACTTTCAGCGAGTGGCAGGTAGGCATCACGCTCCTAAAATGAAACCCAAACGAAAGCAGAATCACAGATAGCTTCAGAAATGTACAAGGATCAAAAAATTAGATAATAAAATGCAATAGATCAATTCATTATTTATAGGGAAAAAAGATATAGAATGAGATTGAAAAAAACAAACAGGGAGAGGTATGCAAATTATGGATGGAATGAGATTGGTGCAACACTGCTCCCTAGAGGCTGCTTATGTAATGTCCCTGCCTGTTTTAACTGTATACTAGTGGTATATCCCGCATGTGCCTGTGTGGGTGGGCTTGGGGTATTGTACCTGATCCAAAGAAGCCTGCAGTCTGTGGGATTCCAGCAGTGATTCCTGGATGAGGGCACTGCTGGCCTTGGTCTGGTTCAAACTGTCGATCAGCTCTCTATTCTCCAGAATATTACCCTGAGCTGTAGCCAGAGTCTATCAGACAGAGATGGGTAGAAATAAAGTTAAGGTTATGACAAGTATAGGGTAGTATTGTAGTAGGAGCAATATATAATCCAACAGTGATATTCTGACATAACTGTCAAAATGGATAAGGACAACTGGGGTTAATTTCTCTGTTAATGTTTTACTGGATAAATTCTAAAAATGTAATATTTGCATTGAACATAAAAGAATCTACAAGTTGAGTATAATATTTAGTTTCGTGGCAAAAGGAGAAATTCAACTGGACAAAAGTTTATTTTGTTTGAATACGTTTCACAGCTCATCCAAGCTGCTTCTTCAGTTCTGGTCACGCTGGTGGAAACTGCCTTATATCTCTCTGAAAGGAGGAGCTAACTATAATGAAATTACTCTGAAACTAACACATCTACTTGTTTACAGTTTGTGTTAGTTAGCTAGGCCTATTGAACTTGTGATTGTGGGGTCATATTAGAATAATCATTCAGGGCCATAATGGGAACTTTCACATCTCTGGGCCTGACCTGGCTATCCCTATTGTTTTCTTTGTTTTTTGTTTTTATTTTGGTTTGAGGATGGAGTTGTAAATAGGAGACAGATGATGTCTGAGTCCTCCATTTCTGTTCAAGAAAGGATTCTCTTTCTTAAGAAAAATAGCCTCTTTAACTCCCCTCTCAAACCAGTTCTTTTCTCTGGCTAAAATTTGTACCTCACTATCCTCGAAGGAATGTCCTGTGGCGTTAAGATGAAGATGTACGGCAGACTGAGGTCCACTATCGCTCTCTCGTCTGCATTGGTACATTCTCTTGTGAAGTGGCTGTTTTTCTCGCTCACTGCAGTCTTCACTACACTGAATGGAGTAGAAAACATTGCTTTGTTTGTGAAAGCAATGTTGTTTACTCCATTCAGTGTAGTACCAATGTACCAACACAGACGAGAAAGCCATAGTGGACCTCAAGCTGCCATACATCTTCACCTAAAAGTCATGGGCAACTCCTTTGAGGATAGTAAGGTACAGATTTTAGCCAGAGAAAAGAATTGGTTTGAGAGGGCAGTTAAAGAGGCTATTTTTGTTAGGAAAGAGAATCCTCCCTTGAACAGAAATGGAGGACTCAGACATCATTTGTCTCATGTTTACAACCCCATCCTCAAACCTAAATCAAATCAAACAAAGAAAACAATAGGGATAGGCACCCATTATGGCCCTGAATGGGTATGCTAATATGATCCCACACTCAGTGCAAGTTCAACAGGCCTAGCTAACAAACAGAAACTGTAAACAAGTAGGTGTGTTAGTTTCAGAGTAGTTTCATTGTAATTAGCTCCTGCCTTCAGGCAGATAAAAGGAAGTGTCCACCAGCATTTTTGACCAGAACCGAAGAAGCAGCTTGGATGAGCTCCGAAACGTATTCGACCAAAATAAACTTCTGACCAGTTGACAATTTGAATTTCTCCTTTTGATATGGATTCTACCTGAACGACTGATTTTACACACATATTCACTTTCTCAAAATTTCTATCTTGTAGAGTAATTTCTACAATAGGGCTTTTGATTGTGTGGAGTAGACATTATCTATAAGGGTGCACACCTCTAATAATGATTCTTCTAAAGTTGCAAGCTGTATTTTCTTCTCTTCTTCCTGCTGTAGCAGCCTGGTCTTTTCTGTCTCCAATTCAGGCTTTTCTTGCTGGATGGTTAAGGCTAAAAGCTACAGGAAAAATAAAAAATAATGAGACCCCCTGACATTATTAAACAGTTATATAAATGTATTAGGCATAACATTATGTCATGTTAATTTTCCATAATTCGATAACACACACACAATATATTTTTGAATATAAAAGTTACCTGTCCTCTGAGACCTGCTCTCGTGGTGGTAAAATTCACCTCTGTAACAACTGAAGCTGCATCAGGAGGGATGGATGGGTTTGGATTTCGTGTTGCCAGATAGAGTTGGAAATCCTCATTATAGTCAATGAGTTTGTCTCCTATTTGAACCACATATCTAGGGCCTAAGAGAAAGTAAAAGGTGGAAAACTTTATCTGACAAACAAGTGCTAACTAACTTTCTTGTGCCCAGTCTTTTAAAAGTCTGCAATGCAGTAGTGCCATCTCTGTGCTTCACCACTTTTCTTGTTCAACAGCACTTTTAAGTGGATAATTTATCCTCACTTGCACTGCCTCTGTCCTCACTCATGCCAATTTACTTTTACAAAAACAACAGTTCTGTCGAAATGATTGAACACCTTGTTTGTCTAGGTATGTTTCCAAACTCCGATAATAAACTCCAGACTTCTAAAGCAGCAGGATAATTGATAACAACTAATGCTAAACTGAATTATTTATATAATTATTAAAAACAATGGGGGGTAAAAATTACAAGTATGACTAAAGACACCTTTCACCGTTATACATGTTCTGGCTTGAAATGAGCAGAATTATACAGTTTATCTCCTTTAAAAGCTACTTGTCTGTGTATAAAGAGGCACAAGAGTGACTTTTCTACTTTTCTCTAATGTGATTGTATCTGTTACCTTGAGCAATGAGTTCTTTTCTCAGCAGTGGATACAGAACAGGTTCGACTCTATCCATTTCTTGTACCACCAAAGTTTTTCCAAATCTTACTGCCAACTCCAATGATGTCATAAAATTACCATCCTGTAGGAACAATATAACAATAATGAACTGTAAAATAGAAAGTAAATATTTAAAAATACTAATTAATACACTACATAACTGATACTATTACTACTTAAAAATACTAATACTAATAATTCAGAAAATTATCCAATTAACTGGAAGCTGCTTCTGAGCTGGTTCAGGCCTGAAATTAGGGGGGATTCTCCAACATTTACATTTAATACAATAACTCCCTCCCACTATCTATTGGAGCATTTACATTTTCACATTTTTACCTGTTGGTTGATGACCTCCAGTCTGTGCTGCTTCAGATGTGTACATAGCCACTCTGTCGCTCGTGATAACGGATCAATCAAGAATGGGCAGGCCACGCTCTGATGGAACAGATTGGAGGGAAGTTTTAGTACGGATCTATTTTGTATATGTGCTCATTTCTGTCTTACTGCTGCCACGCTTATCGACCACTAGTCCCTCCCATGCCAAGCTAAGGAATGAGCTCCACTCCCCTCTCTCTTTTCATCCCCTGCTACCCTATTTCATGGTCTCTTGCTCAAGAATTCTCAATCTCAAGCCATCTCTTTCGAACCTGTTCATATGTCAGTTTATTTTCCACTGGCTTTTCTTAATCTCTCACAAGAAGGGGAAACCGTTTGTGTTGTGTAGTAGGAGGCTTTAGTGGATTTTAATACGTTTGATCTGTTGAGAACTTGATGATAACCAAGTAAGCTGCGGGTTTCAATTAGAAGGATATTGTCTATAAATCAGTCAATAGTAAGGGAAGTACAGCTGCATTGGAAATACACAAAGTGATACACAGGGGCAGCAGAAAGGAATATGACAGCTAAAAGCTGAATGAAATTTTCACTCTTACCTTGAACTCATTGATCTGGTGGCAGCAATGACAAAAGCAACACAGACAAATGTAGGATGGGTAAATGGTAGACAAAGCACGAAATGTTACAATTAGTGATTTTGTGGAATATGGGTGATAGGCTCATGGTTTGATCTTGCATGGTGGAAGTGAAAGAAATTACTAATATAGTGAAATCTCACCTGTAGTATGACAAGTGCATTCTCCATAGAAAGGTCATCAGATGGCAGTCCCTCACTTTTCCAAATCAACTGCTCACTCTCCGTGCAAAGGAAGGATCGCAAGTCAAATTCTGGAACAAATTATGCAGAAAGTCAACATAGCAAAAGTTGAAAATGTTTTTTATCATATGTCAAAATATGTCTCAGTTACTTATACTATTTTCTGCTAATTAAATGTTGTGAAAGCAGCAAAATATACAAGATATACTAATAGTAGCTGTGATTGTAGTTGATTGATTGTTTTTAAACCAGTAAGAGCCTACCCATGCACCATCAAGACAATACAATTAAATAACTAATACACACATGCAGAGATGTATTGTGAGTATGAGCGTAGTAGCTAGGAGTAAAACTATCATAAATGCCTTTAAATATAAAATTACTTTGCAGTCCAGATTGCGCCATCCAAGTCTCCAGACAGTGCCTTCTACGGCCTTCAGGAGCTGCAGATAGATAGGTGATGAAGGCAGCTGCTAGCATGGCTCTTATAGGGAGTGTTTCCAATTCATTTTTTATCTCTGACATCTGCATGAAGAAAGTACAAGAGGAAGGTAAGAAATATATATTCAGCCAGTCAAACTTAAGCTCATCTGTCAACACACAAATTGTGTATATATAAAGAAGTGTGTGGAATTTCACCACCTTTAAATGTGTGTGCTGTGTATGAATTTCTGCACCAGTAACTTCAGACCCCATTAGAGCACAACACAACAGCTGCAGGGCTTAACATATAGCAGAGCAGAGCAACCACAGCGTCCATGAAGACTTAGACAAGTGTGTATGTGGAAGTCAGTAATTGTAAATATATGGAAATACGTGAGGAGAAAGTCAAAGGCTTTGGCTGGGGCTGAGGGGAGGTTGTGAGGATTTGAGTCTGTGTGTCAGGAGGAGATTGAGTGTTTTAATTAAGGTGGAGACAGATGCGTTGAAGAGGACTAAAAACAGCCAGAAGGGACCCAAGACAGCAGGAACTATGGGCCTGTGACATACACACACACAAAACACACTCTTCTTGATGCTTTTAGATGTTAAATGAGCCTCCATTCTCCTAAATGTGTAAAAGCTCCCACTTGGATCCACACACCAGCAGACCTATACATCAAAGCACCTGTGCGTTCCAGCGTGTGTGCTCTCCGTCCAGTTGTGAAATGAGCTTCTCAGCTGCAGTGATGGTGTCCTGAGCTTTTGTCACTTCTGCTTCCAGCTTAGCAGCCTCAGCAGTGTGACACTGGAACCTTGGGGATAGATAGGAAAAGTGTAAAAGAATTCCTTAGACCACTGGAATATTTTCAGTGGTCTAAGAATAGCTGCATACTTCTCTTTGAGCTCACTGACTCTGGCTCCAACAGAGTTGAGCATATCCTCAAGTTTATTTTTCCTGTTTTCAGTTTTTCTCAGGTTTCTAAAAACAACCAACAAATAAAGTTATGTAATTTCAAAATGTTGTCATCAAACCATATTGGGATGTATTAAAGGTGCAGTTAACACAAGTAAATGTGTCTCAGGGAAGAAATGTTTTAGTGCTCCTACTCCAATAGTCCAGCCTGCTCTCTCTCCAGTGGCTCTATTTTCTCCAGGACATGTGAGTACTGGACATTGGCTGTGACCCAAGCAGCTAGAGGCGCTGCTGCTGCACTAGCCCGCTTTGCATTCTGACAAAAAGAAGACATCACAACAATGACTAAATGAAGCCATGTTTTAAATGTTATAGCATACAGAACAACATATATGTGATACGCATCTGCATATTGAGCTATACAGAGAACCCACCTTGGGGTCAAAGGAGGCATAGTTTCTCTTCAGTAGTTCTTCTACACTCTGACGAATTTCAGGAGTGATGTTTCTTGCCTCAAATGTTGCTATGTCTTCTCTCACCCCACGTTTGGCTAAAAAGCTAAAGAAGAATACATAAATACATAAAAAACTATTACAAAAAAAGTCATATCAAAAGACATTTGCATTTCATACAACTGAATTGTTTATATCATATTTCTATAATGTTCTTAATTAAATACTTGGAAAACTTTCACCTTTTCATGCTGACCCAGGATGTGTCAAAGATACCCATGAGCCTGAGGACTCCCTCTAAGATGTCTCTGATGACATCAGGGGGCATGCGCAGCGAGCGGATCTCTGACAGAGCTTCAGGCTTGATGTTGCCCACTGCACGTTTTGCTTCTTCTACCAAGGGCTGAAAGGCAACACTCATAATAAGTGAACACTGTTGACAATCAAGTCATTTGTGCAGACCTTATGAACATACCTGAACCTCCTTCAGCTCATCATCAATTTTTGCTTTTCTTTCCTCAATCTTTGAAACCTCTTGAGCCATTTTACCTTTAATTTTTTCCATTTCAGTCTTTTGGTCACTGGCATTCTTATGAAAAAACAGGAGATGATTATGAATACAGTCATACAATATTTAATCACATAAGAACCATAATGATTTTGCTATGGTAATGTACTCTCATTTTTCTTAAATGTATTATTTGTATACATAGAAGGCTCTTTTTCCAGCCTTCTAGAATTAGACATGATTCTGAGTCACTCTGAAACTGTTTCCTGAAAGGCTCTCTCTGATAATTAAGGTCTCAACAAGCATCTAACTATGTCCCTATCCCATCATTCATTTCTCCTCATCTCACCAGTCTGGCCCTGCTGTCTCCATCTCAACAGGACTCTTTGTTGTTACAGCCGTTAGGGATGATTGTAACTGTTAATTAAACTATGAAAGACTAACTCCTTTTCATTTTTGTGTATTGTTTTGTTCTCTCCTCTGCTCTTGGTTATGTTTCACAACAAGGGAGAAACATTAATGAGTTCAGGCTCTATCCTTCATTTTTAAGAACAAAAATGAGCTAAAGGGAAACAGAACTGAAACATGCACCAGCACTAGATGAGAGCCACAAAGTAAACAATTCACAAAAGCAAATCATCAGTGACTTCGCAGCAGGGTGCACATCCAATGGAAATATAAAAATGGTTGTCTGAGTAACACTAGGCTTAGCTAGAGTTAAGAAAATCTAAAAAAGCAAGAAAAGCAAAGTTAGAGCACTGCCATAATAAACTAAGACAAAAATGTTGGGAGTAGATTTTCCATCCTTGAGGCTGTCTGCCTTTAGTCAGTTTTGCACAATACACACAGAGTACACACATACACCTACTCTGTACCTGCATGGAAGTAGTGATCTCCTGCAGGGCTGAATCTGCCTCCTGTTGTTTAGTCTTCAGCAAAGCACTCTGCTCAGCCGCGCGGCTTTTTAATTCATCAACCAGCGCCTTAGCTTCGTTGAGTTTGGAAACACCTGCCTAAAGACAAAAACACACATTGAAGTTATTGGTTGTAACAGTAAATATTTGGCATATCTAAAGATTCCTACCTGCAGATGCTGTTGCCGGGTTGTGAGCTGGCTCTGCTTGCGACTGAACAATGTAGTGTAAACTTTCAAAAAGGACATATATTGGCTTGGGGTTGCTCCATTTTCTTTGCATGACTCATGGACCATAACAAACAAACGGCAAAGATCTGTCTGGCTAGATCCTGCCAGAAGAATAAAATAATAAATAATAAATAAAAGAAATGTTGAAATTAAACAAGTACTGTAAATGCAATGACAACTAGTATAAAATAGTACTTATAGAGTCCTACCAGATTGTTTCCCTTTGGATGCCTTGTCTCCTTCAACCTTTTCAGCTCTTTGCTCATTTTTAGCCAACAAAAGCTCAGGAATCTGCAACAGTAAGCAATGGCATTACGATGATAAGGATAGAAAAGCAAGGTGTTCATTCAGTTTATCTAATACTAAAGCTGTGCTGTAAGTTACCTTCCTCATGCTGCTATCAGACCATCCTTCCATCCACTGCACAGAACACTTGCGGTAAAAGGCTGGGTTACTTTCACAGCTGATGGTGAAATTAGGGTTGGAAGAGTCCATGATAAGAACTATATGGAGGTTCTGTTGGATTCCTATTGGTGTGAGGAAAAAATAGACAATAAGACCCAATCAAAATAAAAAATTTAAATAATAATAATAATAAAAATAACTATTTTGATTTGGTGGGATTAACGTACTGTAGGAAAAGTAGTTGTAAAGTGGTCCTGTGAATCCATCCTGAGAAGCAGCATCTTTGAGGGGAGACAGCAAAGGCTCCAGCTCTTCTGGTGTGTAAAGGCCTGGAACTTCCCCTATAAAGAAAAACATATTTGACAAATTAGAAAAATTAAAATATAAAAAGTTTTAACTAAGTGAGCGTGTTAATGTATTCAGTGTTGGGGAATAACAGATTACATGTACCAGGGTTATGTAATCAGAGTACAAATTATGAGCAACTGTATTCAGTTACAGTTACTGTTTCAGTGAGTGGTAATTGGATTACAGTTACTTTGTTGAAATAAATGGATTACACGGCAGTATTTTCCTGTTTTCACATTTTGGGCTATATACATATATATACATATATATATACATATATACATATATACATATATATACATATATATATATATATATATATATATATATATATATATATATATATATATATATATACACACACACACACATATATATATATATATATATATATATATATATATATACACACACACACATATATATATATACACACACACACATATATATATATATATACACACACATATATATATATATATATGTATGTATGTATGTATGTATGTATACACACACAGTACAAGTAAACAGCACACAGACATTGTTGGAGACAGACTGTAAATTCCCAACATCCTTTTTACCATCACAGTGCATGCTGGAATTTTTATTGTGAATGCATAACATAACAAACCCTATGAATGAACAATGAACAGAAAATGTAGTGATATTAAAATGGACTTGCGATAGCAGTATGAAAGCACATACCTGATGACAGGAGGCTATTCACCATCTCGAGAAATGCTGGGAGGACAAACTGATAGTCTTCAAGCAATAGAACAACTTGTTGCCCATCAAGACCGGCCAGCTGCATCACCTACATATTGTAAGTCGTGATAATGACCATGATTTCAGTGTTTACATACTGTATAAAATATGCAATAGGCATGTATAAAGCACTTGATAATAACTGAGGCAACTATGCAGACTTACGGTCTTAAGATCATTGTTGAACTGTTTGAGAGAGTAACTACGGGTGATTTTGGGGGTGAACAGCGTGTATCCGTGCATGTGTGACACAAGGCATGTGGCTGTATGTCGGCCCACACCGCTCCTTCCTGCCAGGAGCAAAGAGCCGCCGGGTCGGCTCAGGACACGCTCTACTCTGGACACAAAGTCACACACCTCCCTGAAGAGCAGCAGATCCAGCTCCCTGTTATCTCGACTGTACAGCACCACTCCCTGGAGGGGAGAAGGGACAGGCACACAGGTGAGACTGCAAGCTTTGGCATTGTCACTAACAAACCCAAAGAAAGCAACACAGGTCAGCTTTTATATGCTTCAATACTAGGGTAAAGTTTACTTTAACCTTGCAACATTACGATAGAGATCTATGGGCATTTTACAACTTACTGTGTGAAATGAAAATAATGTTAGATATACGTTTCATTTTATTCAAATTCACTGTATTATAAGTTTAAATTCAAATGATGAACATTTAGTTCCACCTTTTGTATGACTTGTTTCAAATCTGCAGAAGTCAGACGTCCCAGTTGTTTACCATGAGGAGGCAGAGACTGGCCTGGAGCAGTCACAGCCCCCTCAGATGCACCCCATGTCACATAGAAACCATCTGAAGATAGTACAAATACAAATTATTATTCGTAAAATCAGCCTAAATAAATACATTATGGATGGCTAAATAAAAACCAAGATCTTAAATACATGCTTGCTGGCATATATTACAACATAAAATGCCAGAAGTTATATTTCTACAAAGTATTTATTCTATTATTGTTATAAAAAGCATGAACATAACTATGTTAAAGTAATAACAGTGTACTAAAAGCATTTAAAGCAGACTTATGATCAAACACATTATAAAAGAAAGCACCCATTAGGCCTCTGACACCCTGCTCTATCCCTTTAGTCAAGCTTTCTTTGTTTTGGTGCTTCAAGGACTGGGTTTAAGATATGACATTGCATTTTGGCAGGCAGACTTGTTCTTGATTATTATTCTTATCGCAAAGTAAGCCGACTGTTTAAGTCTGTGTGAACCTTTTTTAAAATATGTTTTTAGTATAGTAGAATGTAGAATGTCTCAAATGAGGTTGCACTACTGGTTGAACCTACACCAGGAAGCTGATTTCTATGTGGAGGATATGTGGAACAAAGTGTTCAATGACACAGAGCAAAAAATAAATAAAAGAAATACAGAGAAAGTTGAAAGCTTTCTACCTGTCATGTTATCAATTGCATCAGAGCTCCAGTCTCCCCGAATAGTGGATGACAAAATATTATCAAAGGTGTGAAGATCTTTGGGGGAAACCAGTCTGTCTCTGAAAAGCCTCCTAGCCTCATATGCCACCACCTCCATAACGCTGTCTGTCACATTAGATTGAGCTGGGGGAAACAAGGAGATAAGATTAAAATGTTAATTGTAGCACTATACAGTGGTGCAGATTCTTTGTGTAATCTTGGAATGAAAATCAGAAAGGAAGATAATCTGATAAAATAGTGTAAATAATAAAAGATCATTTACATACCAAGGAAAGGGTAAGCAGCAAGCAAAAGGAAAGAAAGAATTGAAGTTAAAATTATGAGCATGGGAAATGGCAGATGTGACGTGACATGTTTAATTAAAATATATGACTGGGCTGGCTATCACAGCAGGAACACATTGCGAACAGAAAGTGTGGCAGAGGGAGAGTTGAAAGGACAGCAGAGGGACAGGAGGATAAAATAGGAAGAGACAGGGACAGGAGGATAAAAGAGGAAGAGACAGGGCAGTGACCCGCACAATGTGAGACCCAGAGGAGACACGGGGAAGGAGGCAACCAGGAAAAGGTGAGAATTACAACGGCCTTGAGTAAAAGAACCCTGCCATCTGGAGCTGGCATGTTGACCCATTACATTATATTAAATACTGTATAAGCTGAAAAGAAGTACAGAGCTTTACATTCAACATAGCAAATTATACAAATAAATATGTCTATATTGTGATTACCTGCAGTGAGGTCATATCGCAGAAGGCTAAGAACCCACTCTGTGAGGATACAGGGTGTGAAGAGATAATGGCTGTGGTCATCAACTGTGAATTTAACTTTGACCTGAACGAAAAGTAACACACAAATAAGTCTTGTGTTGTCTCAAAACAAACAAAGTGATTCATTCTTCAGTTGAATTTGTACCTGTTCATAAAGCTGCACCAGGGAGCCAGCCAGCTGGTGTATTCGCCCAGTGCTGGCCCACTCTGCCTGGCTACCCAGGCTGTGCTGGAGAACTGGCTGCAAATACGCTGAGTAGATAGTTTGTAGCTGTTCCCTATCTGGATAACTAAAGCCAAAATAAGAAGTTTAAGAAGGACAAATGAAAGACAGTATATTGACATGAATAATCAATGCATACTTACTCAATGGTGCAGATGCGGACGATAGAAGAGAAGCGCGTGGTGAGAGAATGGCTCCCAACAGCACTTCCTGTTGACATTGAAGCTACAATCTGGATGTTTTCAAGACTGACCCACTCCAGGTTTTCATCATAAAATCCTTTGTAGGTCAACACCTGAAATGAAAATTAAATCTTAGTAATCTTTCCATATCTCCTTGTCCAAAGTTGTGTACCTGTTGAAGAAAGGCAATAAGATTGCTGGTGCCCCATTTGTCCGGTTTGGGGAGGTTGATGTCTTTAAGGTACAAGACGAGGTGTTCACAGTCCTTAGGTCTGAAAACCCGGCCTGTGTTTGAGCTCAGTAACAAACAGGTCTGACCGAGCTTCTGTAGAACATGGCGCGAGGATGTCTGGGCACTGCAGTGGACCACGGCTACCTGTGTGGACCTCAGCTGGGAGAAGGCGTAACGCAGGAGCATGCTAGGAGAAGGGAACAATATATTTAACATTAACAATAGGGCAAAGTAAATAAGTCTTTAAATCTCACAGTTCAAAATTGAAAATGCCTTTTATTTTTATTTCCTTAAAGCTGTAAAAAGTTGCAGCAAACAAAGAATTCAGTCTAGTTATTTTTAGCAGTTTTATCTAGCAGCCGTTGTTTGTCTGGAAAAGCCCAATGGCAAAGACAGACATTTGTGAGGGCGCAAACAGAATATAATTGGAAAGTTACCGGAGTGTGCATGTGTATTCAGTCTACTGCAGTAAATATATGGGAAATAATTAGACATAGCACAAAAATGAGCAGACAGACCGAGGGCCGCACTGACATAGTGACCTTTGAGACAAAGTGATGCAAGACAAGAAGACGGAAGAGAGAGAAACAGTGTGGCTCAAGTGGAGTGTAAAAGGCAAGCTGAGTGACCCCGTGTTCTCCAAACCCCCTGAGGCAAGAAGCAATTACTTTGAGGCAACAGCTCTCCAACTATACACAAGCCTATTATTACACAACACAGTCACATCACCAAATTTACTTATAGTATATGCATTTTTCATTATCTATATAGCCAACTTAAATTAAAAGGACACTAAATAACTTTTTGAATAAGTTTAATAACCTTTGCGTGAAATGTTTTACAGTATGGCATTACACTTATATATCACGTGACGGCAATAAAACCTGTAATAAATGAATGAATAAAGGATAGATAAATATGTTAAATGCCACTGTGGAACATTCCAGGCAAAGCAATAATATCTCCATGAGACAAACACATCTCCTTCACTAGATAAATTACAAATCACACCTTTAAAGGGCCTGTACACAACCTTTTTCCTGCAAAACCAAAATCTAGTGTTGCAGTAGTGTAGATATATTGTATAAGCAGCTCTTGAGGTCAAACTAAGTCCACTGTGGACCGTCTGCATCGAATTAGAAAGCGTTTTACTGTCCAACAATCATGATATGTGCAGTTAGCATGCTAGTTGTTGTTAGCTTTACAGTGAAGGCTAAACTCCACTCTGAAAGTTGTGAAAAGCACTTACAAAGTCATTCATAGGATAAGAATGCTCAAAATGCATAAGGTAAGTCTGGAATCATTTTGGAAGATTGCAAACTGTTTAAAATGAACTAGTTTCACTGTATATAATTTAATTACCCTTTGCCACAGCCCTCTGGCCCCACCACCATGAAGGGCTGCCTCTGTTTAGCAGTGAGCCATGGCGAGAAGCAGTGCAAGCTCCTCTGCATATCTGTGGTCTCAATCACAGGTAGCCTCTGCGTGTTAGCCAGCTGTTCCAGTGAGAGGCTGTCAGGACGACGGAGCTCGTAAGCAGACAGATGACCAGTGCCAGGGTCGTAGAATGTGTCCAGAGGTTTTTTGACGTTTGGAGGGCTCTCTCTGGCCCAGCTCAGCAGCTACAGCAATTACACAGAGGAAATGGGACTTACTACAATATAAATCTGCCTTGATTTTTAATAATGTTGGATTTAATGGGTAGAATACCCAAAAAAATACAACTCCAGTAAGAGTAACATTACTTCAAAATAATGTTACAAAAGAAGCAGTACAAAGTAGTAGTCCAAGAAAAAAAACAAGAAACATGTAATACCTCTTTGGCGAATTCCTGTTGTGTTTTTAGATGCAGGTTCCCTCCAAGACCCCTCATAAGGCTGATGATAAATTGACCTCGCTCTGTTACTCCATTGAGGTGCGAGAGGCCATTGAAAACAGTCCCCACTCGACTGGTCTTAACCGCACAGTCACTCTGATGAAAAATATAGCACAATCAGATTCATGTGGTGACTACATTTGATAATAAATAATAAGTGTGTCTTACAACATTAGTGTGCAGCAAAATATACCTGTTTTGTAACCCAATCAAGACCTCGGTAAAAGTAGTCACCAAGCCAGTTTTCGAGGTTACTGCGGCACTCCTCTGGCTGATTGTGCAACCATGACTTTACCAAGGCGCTCACATCGACATCCTCATCACTAAACAAATAAGGTAAAAAGGAATGAAATGGACATGATAATAACAAATCAAAACAAATCAAACAAACAGACTGACCTCAGAAATATCATGCCCATGCGAGAGATGGTGGCCGGTGAAGCACTTTTCAGGTCATGAGTTTCGAATAAGAAGTTGACATTGGGGCCAAACTGTATTCTCTCTCCACTTGCCATGGTCAACAGCCGGTTATCATCAAGAACAGAATTAAGACTTTCAATCCAGTCTGGGTCAATATCACCATCACACACGATCCAGGAGTTCACCTCTGAACCACACATAAATCATGTTACAGATCAATTTAAATGTCTCGTGAAATTGTATTGTTATGTAATCACTCATTTATAGAATACTGTCTATTGAATGATCACTTGCGTACCTTGTGGCTCTTTCACCACACATCTCGCACTGTGTGTAAGAACTCCATCAGCCCATTCTCTGGTGTCATCGTCTATGTGACCCAGGAGTTGCTGTCTGGGCATAGCTTTGGGATTCATTGTGTAATGTTTCACCTACAGAAATACAATTTGCAAAAAATCAATAAAAGATGTAAACAAAACATACGTCAACATAACATTATAACCACCCACAGAAATATACACTTCAGAACAGAGAACAACCTTTGTTCTCTGTGCATCACCTGTCACTGTCAGAATAAATAGCCGCTACTTTCTGACCTTATAAAGATGTCATAATGAAGACTGATTTTATTACTACGCTTCATTTATCATAATGTTGTTCTACCATTGTACTGACAATAAAAAACAAGCACAGAACTTACCACTTTTCCTGTCTTTTTAAGAGCAGCTTGAAGCATTTTCCACAGGGTAGACTTTCCAGCTCCACTTGGTCCTACTATTACCACACCCATACGCTGTCTTAGCTGCTCATTCAGTTCCAAAGCTTTCTTTAGCTGCACAGAAGATTTTTAACAGTCAGTAAATTGTGATATATAGTTTAGAACAGTTGTTTGAAACTTACCTGGCTTGGTATAACCTCAAGTCTAGCTTCTTTATAAACCTGCTCAAGTGCATGCATTAAGACTTGATCTTCAACATCGCTGAAATTTACTCCAGAGAATACATCTCGGACCAAAGCATCAAATCGTGAGCTGTCTGAGAACGTTAGCTTTGACATGGTGTTTAGTCGTAAAGCTTGCACCACCAGGCTACTCTCCTGAACTGCAAATAGAAGAAATATGAAGTTAGTTACATCATTTGATAGGGTCACTAAGTCACACCAACAAAAATAAAACAAATTTACTCTGTTATTCCACAAGTAATTTCTTATGCAGTAGAAAATTTCTGTGTGGTCATCAATTCATGTTCTGTCTATGGTCTTTATTTGCCGTTGCAAGGTAGAGGAAGTGCCTTGAGGATGGTCTGTGTTTTCCAAATGCTCCTAGTTAATGTATGCTTTCGGTTATTGCTTTGAATTTGAAATTAACAAAGCATATCATGATTCACTGTGTCAATACTTTTGTTCTCCCCTTCAAAGGTTCTGGTCTTCCCTGCAGCAAGATTTTTACAACAGAGAAATTCTTGGCCTGACTATACACAGACAGACAGGAGAAAACCTTAGGGATTCATTGATAGGGCTGGGGTATGTGTGTGTGTGTGTGTGTGTGTAGTGTGAGAGAGGACACTATTGTGACAGACACGGAGCCAAACTGTAGCGAGACACCAGCAGTTTGCAAAGCTGACATAAGGGGGAGATGAAGGCGGGAAATAGAGGGCACAGAGGGAAATGTGTGTGGATGAGAGGAGCATCGACAGCCAGGTATCTGAGAGAGGCAACAAGAGGTCAGGAGGAGGGGGGAGCTGTGGCTAAAGTGCTGTAAACAACATAACTTTGGCAGTAAGTGTCGAGGAATGAGAGAATGGAGAAGGACAAAAGTACACACGAGTTATAAGCCCAAGGGAGGGGAAAAGTTTAGCAGTGGACCATTTTGTCTAAATGTCACTTGATGGGGTGCATTAGAGGATTTAGAGGACAAGAGCTGCTGTGTGACAAAAAGCTACTTGACTCCAATCTCCTTGAATTCTTTGTGAGTACCAAACACAGAATGGTAAATCGCAAATGTTATTTGTTGTCTGTTAGTAGTGTAAGTGTGTTGGAACTAAAACTAGCCCTCTGAGAAATAATGGTAAGATAAAGTTTAATGTATTCACGGTGATTCATTTGTTTGATTTCTTTCTCTCACTCTTGGTTAAAAGTATGAAAACCTTTAAAAATAATTTTCATTATATTACTGTTGTCTTTGTCTTGGTTCTTTCTCTGATACTGTAGGAGGCTGCCACAGGCCTTTAGCACAGTCTTAAGAGCACGCAGTCCCCAGTCATAGTGTTTCTGAGGAGTCAACAGCTCCCTGGAACAAAGAGGGAGAATTATGATTGTACTCTTAAAAAAATCAGTACTTACTTTAATAAAAGTCTTACTTGGCCAAGTGAAAGATTGCCACCAGCTTTCCTCCTAGAACTTCTCCGTTTTTGAATCCCTCGGAGTAGAGTATGACCTCAGCGATGAGCTCATTGTCCGGCTTGCTCATAGCCACAGGTCTGAAAAGTTGCTTCAGATTGTCTGGAAGCTTCTGTCTGCCCCCATAGCCTTTTCCTGCTGGGTTCATTGTGATGAACACACCTGAGTTTGGGTCCAATTCCACCTTTAATTCAAAAGAGAAGAAGTACAGTATGCGGTGTATTTTGTAGAAGAAGTTATTTAATCGTTTGGATGTAAAATAAAACTGAGAAGACAAAAAACAAGTTAACAAAAAGGCTATTACAATACAAATTAACTGATTTAGCTGTGTTATACTGAGTAAATGCCTAAATGTACCTGTTTTCCAAGCAGTTCACATGTTGGCTTGTTATGTTTAAGAGAATCCTGAATGGCCTGGATTTGCATAGAAACTGCTGATAGCACAGCCTCTTCTAATCGGTTAAACTCGTCAAAGCAGCCCCAAGCACCACACTTCACCAAGCCCACAAAGATTCTGCCCATTGACTTGACATCAATACCCTAAAGATAAAAAAACAAATTATTTTAATGCCTAAAACTAGTACAAAAAGTATAAAAGCTTGCTTCTTTTCTTTAACATACCTCATCACAGTTGAACACCAGCACCTGCCTCCCAAAAAGTCCACCCAAGGCTTTGACAGACTCAGTTTTGCCGGTTCCAGCAGGCCCATAGGGGTTACCTCCAAGCCCCATTTCCATGGCTTGAGTCAGAGTTAGGTAGCATTTATCTGTCAGTGGAGTATGCACTAGCTTTGCAGCATTCCCCTAAAACCACAACATGAAATGATTTATATAGTTTAAATTACATTTTAATTATTTGGCATAATCATAGATGGTTAGAAAGGAGCAAAAAAGTGAGATTAACAGTCAACAAAAGAGAGATTAGGGTGGTCAAAAATAACTTATACTGAGATACTAATCAATACTATCAGAAACAGTGTAAGACAACGTGGTAATATGAAAAAATATTACTATTATAATGTTTTACTATGATAGTGGTGTTGAGTTCTAAACCTTTTAGTTAGTACTGAAATCCAGTCTGACATTTTAGAATTGTGTCAACACTATGAGAGACGGTGTGGATATAGTGTAAAAAGTGTATTGGCTATTTAAACAGTGCCCCCAAGTGGTAATACAGAACAAGTGCAATGTTGAATTCACATCCACACACCTGGTATTCATAAGTATAGTTGAACTGGGCATCCACCATCTGTATGTGGCAGCATTTATCTGCTTCCATGTAAAATCGTAACTGCTTCTTCCATGCCCAGGCATTCGTACTGGTAATCCCCTCCTGGCTGAGCTGCTTCACTACGCTTACATTGTGAATTATATCCAGGATCAAAGCTTTTAGCTTCAACTCCAATACACTGGCATCTGTGGAGGAAGATATGTAAAAAAAAAGAACATGTTTGTTAAGTCTCTATAATGTTATATTGATTGCAGCAATTACAACATTTTGCATCATACTGTTATTTCATCACAAGTCTGAAAAAATAAATAAAACATCATAAAGGCAATCAGAATGCCTTTATATTGTTTTAAGAAAAATAAGCAGGACCAAATTCCAACACAATAATGTATTAACACAAATCAGCAACATAAAAGTCTACTTAAAAAAGAAATTTATCATTATTTGAGTATCAAAAATGTTGCAACAGTATTATGTGTGTGTGAACCATACCTGTGTTAGAAGTGCCCATTGAATTTGTGTCTATTGCTGTGTAATGATCCAGTTTAGCTTTAAGTTCCAGCTCCAGTCTTTGCAAATTCTGCTCTTTAATAGCTTTTTCAACATCTTCCGTAAACTGGATTTGTTCAGCCAAACACAGAATCTGCAAATCGTACAACATATTTTAGAAAGTAACATCAATCAAAATCAAGTCTGAAAAGAAATTATTCGATCATGCAACTTTACCTGAGATGGGTAGCGTGAAGGATCTACCTGTCCTTTCTTCCCAGCCAAGACGCACTCGTATAAGAGATGCTTTAGAGTCTCTTTCATTTCAGCGGACAACTGACCTAACCAACCCTGGGAACAATACACATAATATATCATCATCAAATCTGTATGTATCTGTATGTATGTAAATGTATATTTTTGTATCCTTTATTCTGTAGAGAAAAGTTTTGAGGAGAACAGGTTAATCAAAACTAAAATCAATATTACCTTACCTCTACTAGGCTTGAGATACGTATCTGATTTTGCAGTGACACTGTTTCACCTTCTAAAGAACACATGGCTACAATGTGCTGGCACTGCTCATCAAATACAACACTATGGATGCCTGTAAAACATACATGTATACTCATACTTTACATGAAAAGCAGTAAGGATGTGTCTCACTAATATCACATTCATTTTCTGACCTGCAAATAGTTTCTTGAGGTGTGACTGGATGACAGTGGGGTTAGTTGCCTGACCCAGAATCTCGAGAAGATCATCATCTCCAATGAAATAAAAGCGAGGGAAGGCAGAGCGCTTCTCCTGCATCAGGAAAAAGAGCTTAGGAACCATACTGCAACAGAATCAATGAATGCAGTTGACACAATTTGAAGCTATTTGTACCTCTAAGAACTCATTGAGTGATTTCTGGCAGCGGTGCAGCTGGTCCAGTATAGTAACCAGAGAGTTTCTGATGCCAGCTCTGGAACTCAGTGACACCACTCTATTGTCTCTTTGAATGTCTGACATAATAGATCTTCATACAAATTAAGAGTAAAAAATTAGAACTCTATAACATGCCACATACAATAAAAATGAAACAAAGAATATACCTGAAATCTTCATCCACTCTTTTAAAGCGAGCTTCCTCCCGTGGTAATGCCCCACGTCCAAAAATAGGTTCTAAATAAACCCACCGTCTCTGGATTGTATTAAGACTTTGCAGATACTCATCAAGATCTGACAAACGAACTTCCCAAAGACTGACCTGGGATAAAGTAAGTGTTTTTAAGCTTAATACACATACATCCATACCATATAACAGTTAATAACTTGAATTTACCTTGTCTTGAAAACTACCGTAGTAGGGAGAATCTTTCAAGGACTGTAAAAGACAGCGGTTGTCTCCAACCTCGATTTGACAAAACATAGTAAAATTATTGTTTTGGAAAAAATACACAATTAATAAATTTAACAATCTGGGGGGAAAATGTACTCTTGTGTTTTCTTTGCCCAGTATAACAATATCAAACCTGATTGACGATGTCCTTCCAGTCTTTGATTAGTGAGAGACTGCGGCCATTGCTGTCAGTATACTCAGTGAGAGTGAATGTCGCCGATGCTCCCCACACATCCAGCTCCCTCAGTGCCTCTCTGATCGTCACCTCAGCCTGGGCACGGCTATTCAGATCCTGCAAAAGCAATTTATCCACTTTTAATAAAATCTAACTCAAGAATAAATGAAAAACCTACCATTGTGGCAACCTCACAGAGTGTTTGAGAGCATGAGGAGGATTACCTTCAGTTGAAATGCTTTTTCTACAATGGTATTTGCTACATTGAGTAGGTCTTGGAAAGTCAGTCTCTCCAGCGTGGTGCCTTTTGGTAGACCCAACAATCTGAACATGTCCAACCAATGGTCCTGGGACAGATGTTCACCGCGTACATACTTCAGCACAGGCACCATGTTCTACATTCAAATTTAGATACAATTAGAACATTTTATTAGACATCACCAAGGAAAAAAGTTATCTCCACACTGGAACTGTACTACCTTGTATTTGTCCACTTCTGCTTGCAGTTTAACAGACATAGCAGTGGGCTGTTCAGACTTACGAAGCCTCTCCTGCCAATTAAGGAGGAATTCTTCAAAAATATATGTCTTACTCCTAAACAAGAAGCATTGTTAGTGCTGACACTATTCCCAGATTTACAGCCAAGTACTTTTAAAATACAAAACTCACCTGAATGTTATCCAGTCCTCTCGAGCTTTCTCCATGAAGCCCTCCTGCCACTCTTCATACAAACCCCACATTTGACTATACGCTTCCATATCTCGTTTTGTCTCTTCAGCTAATGAAAAATCTGGGCATTCCAGATTGAAATAGGTACAGTCTTCACTAATAAAAAGAATAACCAAATACCATTACAATTAATCACAGAAATGAAATGAAATAAATTATTGCACTTACAGCAATTTGTGTCGAACAAGTTCTAATTCTTGGAACTCTTGCTGTTTATCTTTGATGGTCTGAAGGCATCCAAGCAAGGCAGCGTGATCCCCAGTCTCTAAAATATCTTCTTTGGGCTTGAGCTGGTCCCAACGGGCCTTAAATCTTTCCAGATCTGCTCTGTAGGTATCCATGTGACTTGCCACTTTACTTCGCATTACCTCCACCTTAAAAGAAAAAAAAAACATGCTATACTGAGCTTTATTTAGAAAATGGAATATGAAGAATATGGCAATCCTGAGAATAATAATTTTCAAATAATTGCATTTTTTCTTAAGAGGTCTTTTAAATTATGGTTTTAACTAAATAATAAATAGATGTATATGTCCACTGCCCCATCTTGTGTTACCTGTTCTTTTATCATGAGTTGGTGGCTTTCCATAATAAGCTCTAGTTTATCCCATTTGGCCTTCAGAGCAGTGATAGAGTCTAGACCAGCCCCAGCAACCGATCGCAGCAAGCGGTTTTTCTCCTCAGCACTTTGAAACTGTTGTAGTATCTGTGCACACAAAAGTAAGATTTTAAAGTCACAGTTGTTTTGCAAATATTATTTTATGTAATTTTGCACTTGCCCTTACTTCAGGCTTTCTGGACAATATGTGGTTATAATGCCCTCGAGTTGCACTGATTTCCTCCATACTTTCCGGTCGAACGGACAGGGCATCTGTTGACTCAGATACAAAACTCTCTATGGTTTGTGTATGGCCTAAAAGAAGGAAACAAGAACATGAAAGAACAGACACAAAATAAACAGAAACCAAAACATAAATGTAAAGTTAGGCAGTTATGCATCACCTTGTATGGACCTCCTGAGCGACATAAGGAGCATTTCAAATAGCCTTTGAATCAGGTCATCAATTGCTGCTTTTACTGGCTCACAATTTACAGTAATGCAGTCCACTTTCTCCTGACTGAAACACACAAGACAGAAAATGTTTTATTATTATTTATTATTAATATTATTATACAAATTAACAAAAATGTGAACAGTAGTAGTAATATTAAAGGCGATTTATTGACATTTAACTGTACCTTGGCAGACGCTCTGATTCCTTTCCTTTGGCTTTAAGAGCTTTAAAGTTTTTTTCCCAGTCCTGCATCGAGATCAAATGTTTCTCCACTAACTTCTCCAAATCCACCTGACCCAGCACCACCCAGTCCTACAAGGAGAACATCCTCCATCAGTAAGAGCAGCTTTAAAACAATTTTGGAACTTTTTTGTATTTCATACTTTTGTACTCATATCACCTTGAACTTGTTTTGTATAGCTTGGAGGCGCCTGAATAAATCCTCTGCTTTGGTGAAAATGGTGAGAAACCCAGATGCATTCTTGTCGATCATAATGCTGAAGATGAGCTCCTCCCCTTGGGCACTGACCCCTTTGAACTGGTTGGGAATAGAGATGAACCTTTTCATTTCCTTGAAGTATCGAGATCGAACTTCTTCAAATGGAGGGCGAAACTGTAAACGGCCCTGTCTGCACAAAGAGACATTTGTTACAATTAAAATACAATACAGATTAGAATACACAAGAGTCTAAGAAAATACTTGAAAGTAAGATCGACGTGTATTTCTGGCAGGTTCTTGTTAAGAGCTTCCAGTCCCATTTGATACTGATGTTCAAGAGCCTTGTACAACTGATGATTCCAGTGCTGTCTCCAAGCACGCATGTCATCAGACCTGAATCCCTACACAAAATATACAATACACTTTACTAAAAATTATTTAATCTAAAAAACATTTGCCTATAACTTACTTGAGCCTCCAGAACAGCAAAGCCAGTACGAAGGTCTTGAAGTCCCTCCTTCCACCGCTGCTGATGCCTCAGTAGATCAACATTCATTAGTGTCACCACCTAAAATATGATGTGTTGGAACAAGCAGAGTATAAGAACAATGACATTTACTGCACAATGTACAGCCATCCATTTTCATGCAACTCTTGTAAAGAATCTCAAAAAAGAATGTAGAAACAACCTTGTCAACAAAATCTGTGTGCCATTTTCGTAACTTCCTGTTTTCTGTTGAGAGTTTCTCTGCAGCAGTCTGAAGTTTAGCAATATAGACCTCTAATTCTTTCGGATTGTCCCAGGTAATCTGGAGTTTTCCACCGGAATCCTTAGAATTAGAACGAGGATTCTAAAAAAAAACAAAAACAAAGGAAAGTATGGCTACAAATTTACGAAACATTATATAAAAAGTAAAATATTTGCAAGAAATACCTTGATGATCTCTTCAAAAGCTAAGGCCAAACCGAGCATCATGGGTTTCTGAGAGGGAATCATCTGTTGGTCAATAGTGTTGTAGAAATGGGCAACCTACAACGGAAGAGGTGAGGGTGAATTAAAGAATTACTTCAAGCCAATAAATGAATTCGTAACTAACCTGTTTTAGGACAATGGCCTGTCTATAGAACTTGTCTGCAGTATTAGCAGCCTGTTGTATCTTAGCTGGGATGGGAAACCCTAAAGCAGACAGCTGCCTGACCTCTCTGAGCAGACTGACCAGTCTATCGGAGTACTGGATCTGAAGTCTACCATCTACATGGTCTAGGTCCATCACACGGCTACTGGCTTGTAGACTAGAAGAGAGAGTTTAGGGTAAGATGAATAGATAGCTGAGACAAATAAGATAAAGACAAACTAGAATAAATTATGTTAAAACCTAATTCCTGATTTGGGATCAGCCAGTCCAGATAGGATATCTCGGGACCAATCTTCAAACTGCTCCTGCTCATATGCTCTTAACACATCCAGCAGATCATCAGAAAAACGCAGAAACCCTTTAAACCCAGATAGATCTGGGAGTAGAGCCTCAGCGATACGAGAAGAATCTTCAAGCTGTTACATTAACCAAAAAAAAAGACACAAAGAAGGAATGTTACAGCATGTGCCTTTCTATGTGTAGTCATCTGAATGAGCTTGAATGACAATGACCTTATGTATAAGCTGTCGGACCCAGACTATTTTGTTGACCACTTCAGGTAGATTTCTACCAATGAAAGGTCCAGACTTATCTCCAGGACCCCCATGACAACGGGTTTCAAAGTCAGTCTTAAGTCCTACAATCATAAGCTTAGGCTTTATCTTCCGTTTATCTTGACTTTTTAGTTAAATGTGACACAAAAATATAAATTGCACCTTTGTTGTAGTCCAGTAGTCTGGCAAGTAAGACTTCTCTCTCTGACTGCAGCTCTTTACTGATGCTGGGCCGCTGGATTAACTCTTTATGTTTTTGGAACACATGTAACAGCTGCAAAGAAACATTCACATGCATTTTGTTACCGTAACCAATCACATTACCATACTGTGTGTATATATACACACACACACATATATATATATATATATATACATACATACACACACACACACACACATATATATTAACCTGTTGAGGATTGTTCTGCACATCTGCAATGTAGTTCTTTAATCGGCCTGCAACTTCCTGCTCTGAGGGTGTAATTAGACGCTCAAACTGAGCCACTGCTGCTTTCCAAAGGGGCTGATGACAGAAATATAATAATAAATATGGCTATTTAGTTTATACATACATTATATACATGATATTCATTAGTTATCACAAAGCTGTCACATCCTTAAATGCAAAATTACATTACAAATGTCCTTATGAATCTGGAGCAGATTTCAAAGGGGGTAAGACTGTTGAACTCCAACAGTGCATGACTGACCTCAGTGTAGGGGTTGTAATGCAAAGGGTTGAGTCCAGAGAAAGGCTCAAACACAAGATCTGAAGTTAGAGTCTGCTGCTTTGCCCCTGATAACAAACGCAACAGTTTCTCATGGACCATGCGCAAAGTGATTACCTTTGAAAACACAAAATAGCTAAATTATACATCTTTTTGACAACATAATTTCATCTACAATTAATCATACTTCATCTAATCTTTTTCCAAGGTTTTGCAAAACTTGTGGACAATGTTTGTTTCCTTTCCATGGATGAAGAGAATGCCTTTTCCATGCCTAAAAAAAAGTATTATGTGTGAACTTGTGAACTTTGTATTTTAAGTTATCTCTATAGTTTTACCTGGCCAGTCAAATGCTCACAGGTCACCACCCACTGCTCACAAATCGAAAAACCCATTCTGAGGTCCTCTCTGACTGAGGTGAATGGCTCCTCAAATATTTTATGATCACTCAGTTTCTTTTGTACATATCTTCCCAGTGCACCAGCTAAGTGTTTTTAAACATGAGTATAAATTGACAAAGGCACAAAACTCTTTCACAGAATTATAATGTTGCAGGTGTCTTTTGACAACTAACCAATAACATCCATGAGACGACTCATGCGTGGCTCTGGATAAGGTTCAAAATCAGTCTGGCGCCAAACATCATCTAGAGTGTCTTTCGTGATGTCCAACAAATCTACAACGTCTGTCATGGACAAGCCTTCCAGCCCTGCATACTCCTACAGAAAGACAAGAACACATACAGCATATTCTTCAACAAGGTAGTTCACTTTCACTCAACTATCACATTAATCTACCTTTTGTATAGGTTTAAATTGCTCTTCAAAATGTGCAGCTCTTTCTCGCACTGTGATTTTTTCTGCATTCTCAGCTAGATCTATCCAGTACTGAAACTCATCATTGGGAGTTAGAATACCTTAGTTGAAAATAAGAATTTAGGAAAGAAAATATGATACAATATATCTTATCAAATGTATTGTATTCATACCTAATACATCATCCTCCTTACGATCCTTCTTTGAAGAAGGGTGCACTCCGTGATGTCGGACCACTGAGCCCAGACCCTGCTCAAGTTCACTGAGAAGATCTGCCAGCTTTGGATCAAAGACTGCCCGCCAGCGCTCATCCTAAATGTTAGAAGCACAGAAGCATATTATTGACACTTTTCATTCAAAACACTTTCTTAAATTATAAGAATTATCTAACCCAGTCTAACCTTTAGCAGCACAGGTGCAAAGACCTGTTTAACAGCCTGGTACAGAGTATTGATGGGCGAATCCAACATGGATGATACCAATAAGCTCTGGTGAAGATTTTCCTCTGTGATCACGGTTGGTTGCAATTTAAAGAACACCAACACCTTTTGTTTGTTTTTCCCCAATCCCTCGATCTGCATAACATACATAATCCATAATCTAAAATGCTAATAAGGAATGTAAGAACATTATACACACACACACACACACACACACACACATATATATATATATATATCTATATCTATATGTATGTATAGTGTTAACATAATCAAGTTTACCGTTTTAGACATGTGAATGTCATTCTCATTTTTGTAGACAGAGAGTACAAATTCATTTCCATCATCTAAAAAGCTGTTGAGTTCCGGGCTGTTTTCCAGTGAGGGGGGGAGCTTCAATAGAAAGAAGTTGCTGGTTGTTGTTAAAATAAATTTCTTTCGCACGTCATCTGAACTCGGAGGCATTTTCAAGGTAGACTGCACAGATGCTACAAAAAGGGGAATAGTTTTATTAACGCCATAACCATAGTTGTGGAGCTAAAATATTTTTTATTGCACTTAGATACTTAGAGATGAAATTTATCATCATACATAATAATTAACAAAATCATTTTGCACTTATTTTAGTTTCCCGTTAGTGCAGATCAATGCAATAAGTTTCTGAACTGCACCTTGATATCACAGGTTTTTATCACAGTGCAATGCTTTTTAAAAATCTATGAATGATTTATGTTGACCATTTGAATGAGAGGCAATTGCCAATTCTTCTGGTTGAATACCATCCATCTAGTTTTCAGCCTATGTTCCTAATGACAACAATGCTAACTATTAGCACCGTTAGCTCCCTTCCCGGTAGCTGACAGTAAAATGTTTGATCGCGGCTCTTCTGCAGCTCGGGACATGCGAATAGAAACGTTTGCGTCATACCTTATTTCCATGAACGGCTTGATTGTTTATTTGAGGTCAAACAGGACTAAAACCCACCACAAGCGCTTGCTCGCTTAAACCCAAAGATTATGCTTGCGTGGTTGCTACATGGCAACTGCGAAACCTTGTACCACGTGACAACATTTTACTAGTCTCCTACGAAGAAACTTACGTCATTTACGCACCCGCGTTTCCCGCGGCTTCTTTACGATATTGAAGAAATGTGCTAAAACGTACCTGGGGCCGAGGTTTAATAATCAGACAAAAAGTGTGATTTTTTTCTTTTTTTTTTTTTTTTTTTTTACGTACACCTCAGGCCATTACGAGTTCTTCTGTTTTAACTCAGTTTTGTGTGGGACCCACATACATCTGGGTCTACCACCCTAAAACCCATAGAATCACTATACAAACAGACAATAAAAATATTGGACGGAAAGCCCATGAGATATCACAACCTGTTAACCTGGGAAAAACTCATCAAGTATTCAAACCTTTGTCTCATTGTCAAAACCATCCATGGCCAGTCATCTCCTCCACTCTCTCACTTCATCAGGATCAGAACCACCACACAGTGACACCACTCAGCTTTTAGAGACTCGTTCCCCCTGAGAAAAAGAGCAAGTGCACGTGAAAAATAGCCTCTCTAGCTAATTCAGGTACATTTACAGAAAAGTTGATTAATGTACACTGTCCCTGCTAAATAAAACAAATAAATAAATACCCACTGTACTTCAGAGGAGGATTTATTCTGATTTATATTTTTGTATGACTGGTCTAATAATTGTAAATTGTATTCCTCATCATGTCAGTAGGCTATTCTTTTTTCCACACTGACTATGTGACACTGAATGTGACTATACCACCACTTTTAACAGGCTCAGCATTCGGGTGGGTCCGAAAAAGAGTGTTTGGGGTCCTGAATTTGTAATGGCCCGAGGTGTACATTGATGACAAATAATAGTACGTAAAAAAAAAAAACCAACAACAACTGTGGTCTGGCTCCTGGACTACTAGTTTTTATTTTAAAGTTTATTCAATTTCATAATTGGCATATCTCCCATCTCTAATCCTTAGACATTTTAAATTGGGTGAAAAACTTAACTGAAAAACAAAATGCTACTTAACATGTATTTGTTATGGAGAAATATAGGCCTAATAGAAACTTAAATAACTATATGTGGTATCTAAGATCATTGTGGCGCATAAACAGGCAGACTACATTTTGCAGATAGTTATACCTTTATTGTTAAAATAAGTACATACATAGAAACAATAAAGACAAATAGACACAACACACATGCTGCTGAAGGTGTGGTCAGATTGTAAAGACTGCAGACTGTGAAGACATAGCATACATGCACTTGCATAGTTTCACTTTGGACTTTAGTACAGTTTAAGTTTAGTTTAGTACAGTTTTAGTTTAACAACAAAGTTCAACAAAGCCTATATATTTCTTGTATATTTTATTCTGACACATTTGGACAATAAATCCTTCAGCTCTATGCAATTTAAATAGCCTGCACCTTTTAAGCATACATTTGACTGTCAAAGTGCATACAATCATTTGCAAGTATGCACAGTATGTGTTTAACTTTGTTTCATTATCATTTTGTTGCTAGGTTGAGGTTTGAGTTTTATACCAATGACAACGTGAGAATTGTTTTCTTTGTTTGTGGACAGCTAAGTGACTCTATACCCAACCCACATATCCACCCATTTATATGTGCGTAGGTAGTAAGGAAGTTTCACAAGGAGTGACCGGCAAGTATTGCTGCAAGATGGTAAGTAAACTAAAATTCACCACCCTTTTCACTTCTATATAGTTTATTTTTTAAATTTACTTTATTATTCGATCTCTATCTTTTGTTATGGATTCTGTGAGAGGAAGTGAGATCAGTGCTTCCTGACTAGACACATTTTATGATGAATGAAAGCTGGTGTTAGCTTATCTATTCAAAATATTTCAGCTGTCTGCACACGTCTGTGTTTGTAATACTTTAAGAACTATAACCCAACTACAAACAAGCTTGCACATGAAACATGGATTTCTGTATGGTAAATACAAAATGTATTTTTAATACATTTACATTTTTAGGAATGATCAAAAGTAATTAACAAAATTGTGTGCATTTCAATAAAGTACTTTCTTTCATATATTATGACTTGTGAAGTATCAGTCAATCATTTACTTATTTACTTACAGAGTGCTTTTCATACAAAAATGCAACACAAAGCACAATGCAACACAAAGCTCATTAAGTTAATATTGAGAGTACATGTATTCAATCAAAGTATTGTAGTACAGCATAATACGGCTTGCGATGACTCACTGCCACTGATCAGATAAAAAGGTAAAATCTTTATATATAGTTATAGTTATATAACACCTCAACTTTGGGATAATGTTTGATGATGGAGTGGAGAGATTGACTTTCAGCATGCTTGTTCTATGACTATAGGAAAATACTTGACATTTTTGTGTTAATCTTTTTTTTAATCTTTGTTGTTGAACAGGTCACAGTCGAGTGCTTCCACCAAGATATTGTGTAAGTATATCATAAAGTATAATTATTAATTATCCTGTCCAGATTCAACAGTCTAACACTGAGCCTCAAACTAACCCTGAAAATATGCTCCCATGTAATATAATGTGTTATATTCTTTGTGCAATTGTTCTTAGTCAAAACAAACATCTACTGTGGATGTGCAAGTTGATATTGTCATACATCATTGCTGCTGCAGCGGGTGAGTTGAACTGTCCTCTCAGCACAACAGCCTTTACTGTAAATACATATATGTAAGAAGCAGGAAATTTTATTATTGTGTCACATCACTTAAAGATGTCAGAAAATGTCTGTATAAAGAATATCTAATTTCATAAAGCTTTTACCAACAAAATAGCACTAAACAAAAACCTTACACAAATGTGTCCTTTTTAATTTGACACAACATTGACTTTTCATTGACTAAATAGCATGGAAACACTGAGTAAGATAATAATGTTAATGATGCTAAATTTAATATTTGTTTCTTAATTATTCCATTTGTCTTTCAGACTCCGAAGAGAAGCTGAGTGGATATGTTGGGGGAAAAGTTGTTTTCCGCTGTCCACTTAAGCCAGACGTGAAATACAAATTCTTGTATTTACAGCGAGACAGTGTCTTTGTGAATGGATACTATGAATCTAAAAACATGTCAACCCATAATCCATGGCCAAACACCAAACTGGAGAAAGAGAAAAGTCTCATCTACATGTCTGAACTGAACGTTTCTCATGCGGGACAGTACACCTGTTATTTTGAGACCAGTGAAGGCTTAAATAACGTGACTCACATAGAGCTGACCATCACAGGTACGTTACAAATAAAGTACTGGGCACAAAGGGGCACAAAAAGTGGCACTGTGGCTAGCACTCAGGCCTCACAGCAAGAAGGTTATGAGTTCGATCTCCAGGTTGCCTGGGCCTTTCTGTGTGGAGTTCCGTGTTCTGGTGGGTCATCCCAAAAACATGCACTGAAGGTTAAATCCTCCAGCTAAGGAACAGTCCTGACCAAGCCAAGTAACAAGATCAGGGAGATGGGTCCCTGGATGCCCCATGTGTTGACCACTAGACATCCTGAAAGGATGGGTGAAATGCAGAGAAGAATTTACAGAGATTTAAAAAAAAAAAAAATGAGGAGAGAAGAGTAGACTGGAGCTCCGAATGTTTCTGTCACCCAATCCTGTTAGATTTTAAGGTAATAATTAAAAAATGTGTTTAATATTTCTTACAAAGAATACAAAGGATAAAGATTGCTGGGTGAGTACCAATATGTGTACTCAAATAATAGATACTTTCAAAAATAGAGATGGGGTAATTTTATTTATTTATTTATTTTTTCTTCAAAGAGAAAACAAATGTGCTTGTTAAATATTAGACACAATACAATTCTTGCAATTTACAGCACACCTTATCATTATACTGAAAATATATTTATATAAATTTAATGTAATATTTTTTGTATTATTATTATTATTATTATTATTATTAATGACAAGGCTAAGGCATTTCCACACACAAGAGTTGTTGTTCACCATGTTGCACATTTATTTTTGTTGTTACATACATACATATACTTACATATATATGTATGTATGTTTCTTTCTTTTGTATTTTGTCTAACAGCAAACTACAGCAAACCCTCAATACAACTCCACAACTGTACAAAGGAGCAGTGCCTGGTGCAGTGCTCTTCACACGGCGGCTACCCCAACAAGACAATTGAATGGGGAAAATCCATTGTTTCCATCTTGGGAAATGATCACTTTGAAGACAACAAAACACAGTTATTCAACCTCTCCAGTATGGCATCCTTTAACTGTTCCACTGGGAAGCAGCAGAACATCAGCTGCTCCGTGGATGGGGTCTCCTCAGTTCTCTCTGTCTGTGAGTAACAGATAACTTTTAGATAAGGGGTAAATGCTTTTTTCATATTCTAGATTATAATGATATAACAGCCTTTAGAATATCATCTTATTTTAGAAAAGAAAAATTTATAGAGCTCAATATTCTGCCATTTGGATTTGATTAGGAGCAGAATTCAGAATTCAGACTTTGGAAAAATTCATTTGAAGATTGTTTGTGTTAATTGGCAATGATTAGGGTAAGAGCTGTGCTGTTTATGTTCAGGAAATTAATATAGCAAGTCATTTTATTTATTTAATCATTCATTCAATATTATATCAGGCAGGTCAATTGAAAATATCTTCTCATTTACAATGATGACCTAGCCAAGACCCAGCACAAGACAGCGCATGAAAGAGTCAAATGTTACCCAAATGTATAGGCATCTACCTGTGTTTCAGAATGGTTAACTGTTGGCCAACAGTTCATGTACCATCATAGGCATGGCAAGTCAGAAAAAGTCATCCAGTATGAAAACCTGCCAAGCTATGGAAATAATCCAATGTGGTATAGATGGGCAATATGCCAGGAAAAAAAAAATCACCACCATTTTCTGATTAGATTCATCCTGATTCACAATATGTTCCATAATAGAGCAATCAGCCTCTTGAAAAGCTTTTGACAGTTCAGGTGGTTCAGATAATAATTTGATTTTAAAATGATTTATTGTGTATAATTTACTTTTTTTTTTTCTTCTTCAAAAGGTAAACAAGAAAACATTCCTGTAACAGTAGCTTGTATAGTTGTTCCCATACTTGCAGTTCTCTTACTTGCATTTGGTATCTTTGCTTATAAAAAGTTCAGGTAAATGCTTATATTGTTTATCTATCCACTGTAGCCTATAGTCTTTATAAAATGACTTATGACTGTTTGAATGTATGTTACAGGAGCAGAGCCCGCCCTTATACGGAGACTAATCAAAATGAAGATGAAAGTGGCTTATGACAGGTGTCTGTGTATTACGGATGAACATTAATATTCCCTCAAAGTGGTGCGAAGAGGAAGCTTACTCAGCTCCTTGACTTTATTTGTTCTGATTGAAGAAGTAAAATGTAAGTTACAATGTGAATGTAAGACAATACTTAAAATTGTAATCCTGTGAGGCATGTCACTGAACACACACTGCAGGTCAATGTAAAGCAGAATAGCCTCAAGATATTTTCAAAACTGATGATTTAATGGATTATCTTACTTTTTTAAGATATTGAAATTAATACTTGAATACACTGCATATTTGGCCCTTTGTGTTGTACATATATGTCCATATCCTGCCTGCTGTTACTGCATTTATCATTTTAAGTAAGCAAACTGTTTACTAGTATGGTGCATGGTTTTATTATAAATTTTAGTTTTTTATGCTTTTTTCATAACTTAACTCTATTTTCTAATATACATATATATATATATATATATATATATATATATATATATATATATATATATATATATATATATATATATATATATATATAAGGATATAGATTTAATTTATCTTAATTTTGATTGCATATTCATTTGCTACTCTGCCTTTAAACATTACATTAATATTATTTCAACATTGTCTTGTCTTTGATGAGTTGCAGTTACTATTGTTATCCAGCAGAGGGCAGTCTAGCTCCATGAAGGCCATACATTTTCATGGCACGCTTCATGGCAGTTTGGTGTACTTATGTTGTTATTATAATAGTAGGCATATTTATTGATATTTTAATTATTTACATTCCTTTATTTTTCCACTGAATTAAAAAAAATATCCACAAAAATGTCTTTTTATGACTGGCTAACACAGAATGAGAGAATAATAAAACATCTGGCTAACATCTCAATAAAACATCTCAGCAGATATATAAATTCGAAAAAGGAGTTGGGAAAAATTGCTATAAGAACACTACTCTGATTGGCTGTGACAGATTGCCCTCGACCTCTGCGCTGTGTTTACACTGGACAGTCCAGCAGCAACAGGTTGGATGCACTACAGGAATGTGACCCCTCTGTCCCTGCCCTTCTCCTGGACCATCTTTCCTAAACTCCATTTCACACTTTGGACTTAAATTAAAACTGTCTTTAATTTGCCATTTTCATATTCTGACTTGTTCCTTATGTGTAGCAGGAAATGCAGTTACATTTCTAGTACGTATAATTTCAAATGCTTTACTTTTTACTTTTTCTTTTTTCCTTTACTGCGGTATATTAATGGGATAGAATGTGTCACTGCATTGTTTTATTTTGGTGGAATATACATACAGTAGGTTTAGTTTACATTTTCAAACAATAAATAAGAGAGTATTCCTGTCCAGAAATAGACACAGGTCATATAACCAATATAAGATTTTAAAAAAATTCTCAGTTTTGATGAATTTAAGGCCCCATAATGCATCTTGCGTGGGGCCCCACAAAACTAGAAACAGCCCTGACAGTGGCAGATGTTAACCAATATAGTCTTTATTCATACTGTAGTGAATGTCAAAATTGTCCTCTTTTCAAAGGGATGCTGAAAGTTATTCAAGGCATTAAATGGGTCTTTAAAGGGAAAAAGTAGTAGTATAGATTTCCACAGAGCTTATATATAAATGAATTAAAATATCAGACTTTGGCAATGCTAATGTGTCAAAAATCCTATAGACCAAGTGCAAGAAGTATGACTATAATTGTTACGACAACTGTAACATCTCTGGCTCTGTCTGTTTTGTGTCAGCTCAAACTATTAAAATTATGTTTCCTTCATCGACCCTACCTTCGTCAAATTTAAGCGTTTCTTTCCCCTCTCCCCTCTCCGCTGCCCAAGTCAAACCCAAACAAACCAGGCCGGACTTTCCTCTGCTGTGTGGGAGGAAGACTCCACATGTCAGACACACGCACAACATAAACAGTGTCCAATCAGAGGCATGCTGGAAAAGACATGGGTCACTTCACTTCACATAACTGAAAAGGAAAATACATCACTAAATACATTTTAAAAACAGTTAATATAAAAAATGTAAAAAACATGCTTCGAAAACAAATGTTCTTTCTATTCATTTTCAGAACCTGTTTATCTCAGTGGTAAGGGAGTAAAGCAGCTGGCATGAAACCGACAGTTTATTCCCCACTACTGGCAATTAAAGGTTAGACTACTTATTTACTAAAACACAACTAAGATCATTTATTTATTTATTTATTTATTGTTTTATTGTTTTCCGAAATTGGAAATTTTTTAGGTTTAAATTTTTACTTCCTGGTTGGAAATCGTGACATACATAGCAAACCTACCCTACACGAATATAAGAAAACACCTTTATTTTATTGAATTAATGTTGAAAGTACCAGAAAAAATTAGTTTCTTTAATGTAAACTGACAAAATTTTGGAAAGAATTCTCCCCAGTGTGATGTTATGTCATAAATGTCTTAGAACTCTCTACGTTCTGTTATTTTGAACATATTTTTTCAATTTTTCTTCGCAAATTACTTCTTGATCAGTGTAAAACTCAAATTTATATTTACATATTTATAATCCCAACAAATTAAGTAAAAATTAGAGAATCAGTCATATGTACTTCAATGGTGGGACAATGCACAATTTCCACTAGACAAGACAAGACACAAGACTGGGTCCATAAGAAGATCAGAGTTGGGCATAATTTTTAATAAATGCATGATAATAATAATATTGTGTGGTTCAACTTGCCAGCACTTAGTCTTTTTTGTCCAAATGTAAGCACATGGGAAAAAAATCACACAAGATCATTTCTGTTATGTCATGTGTGCACAATCTTGTGGAAGATTTGTCTCTTGTGGCATAAGATCTTTTCCCATCACTACTGGCAATGCACGCTGCCATTGTGTTCTTGAGCAAGGTACATCTCCCCACTTGCCTACAATGTTTACGTAGTGGTATGAGAAATCAATGTTTTTTGATGTACACAAAGACCAAAAAAATCACTAGCCTATATGTGACTATTTGAATGATTTAAATTAATTTAAATTAATAAAGTGAAGTTAGTGATTTTTTTTCAATAGCAAAACTGTAAACATATGATATTGTTTCATAACCTTTATAAACACTACACAGGGTCTAATTTGGAACACTGACATCAGGTGTTTTTCAGCAGCTAATGGTCCTGTTAATAGGAGTATTTGTGTGCAGAGGTATTTCTCAGCCTGTGGTGTGTGACCTCTGCAACTCTGTTCTGTGTGGTGTTCATACCGGCGGGAATGCTAATCAGATTAAACTAGTTATGAAAGTCAGATAGATTAGTTTTAGCATGGGGGAGCCAGAGCACAAGGCACAGGAGCCCAGCAGGAGACGTGTGTGTGGGGGGGCGGCAGTGGGCCAGTGTGACCTCACATGAGAAGACTTCATGCTTTAACTGTATTATTAATGAGGAGTTATTATTTTAACCCAATGGAAAAATACTCAAACATTTTCCAGTCAGATTACAGACAGTGTTTCCAAAGCTCAGTCTTATGTACTTTGAAGTTTATTATTATGTTTCTAACTAAAGAGGGTACTGTGTAACTTTTCCGGTGTGGGATGCGGGGATACTTATCCCCAAGGAGATATTATTGCATCGTCTGGAGTGTTCCACAGTATGACATTAAACCAGTCTACAGTCACCAGGCTAAGTTATAGGTCAGGTCTATGGAGACCTATAATTTAGCCTGGTTATAGGTCTAATGGATCTTGGATTAAGACCCAACCTTTAACTCCATCTTGAGTTTTAATCATATTGTAAACATGTTTATCTTTTGGTCGTCTTGCTGTTTGGAGTGAATGGTATTGTCATATTTCATTATTCAAGTAAAATAGAAATGAATAACACTTACAAATTATGCCAAAACTTATCATTCAAAGTTGTTCCAAAGAGTTGGAACTTAAATCAGGGAATTTGGCAAATCTATTTGAAGTTCTAATATTGCTTTAAGTAGATAAATTGGGGAGAATGACTTTGAAATAAATACAAAATGAGACAAGCTTAAATTGGTTCACTTCACTTGCTAATTTCTCCACCTCCCAGAACAACTTTACACCACAAGTGATTCTTTGATGTGTCCCTTTTGTGCTTCTGAACAGGCCTGTAGCAGCTGGGCTCCTCATGTGTGGCATATGAGGAGAAAGAGTGTAGTGGAGCAGTCAGTTCTACCTCTCCAGCTCACTGACCATGTACTGGCTGTCAGGTCTCGAACCATCTCCCCGAGACAAGAGAGCTGACCTGGAAGCATTTATCACCCCTCTGTTTTATGACCTTTGACCTCAGGCCTAACACCAGTAAACCACGGAGCACAAAGGATGTAAAGGAACGGATGAGGGCCTGAGGTGACCACTGCAACAAAATCTCAATGGGAATTTTAGAAGTAACACCAGTATTACATGGATTTATGGAGAGATTAATGTATTTAAAGGGATAGTGGTGAGTCAATCTAGGACTTCTAAGATTATGTAAATATAAATGAAGAAAATACAGACAGACCTACAAATATCTTTTTGTAAGAAAAAGAGAATTATGTAAAATTTCCAATATATCATTTTGACTTATCCTTAAACTGAATATTCCTGAATGGCTACTGAAAACGGGCAACTCTAATGTATAGGGCCAGATCAGATAGAGGCAAGACTTTCAAGATTCTTCCACTGCCGCTAACAAACTACAGGGAAAACTTCATCACGCTATGGGCATAATCCAAATATATTCCACATGCATTAAGGACATATGCACCTGTTCATTTGTTGTAGCAAACTGTTCTATTGACTTCTAAGATGGGTAACAAATAATCTTGCAATTAACATACCATACCACCTGCGCTCCCTAAAAGAACGCACTGAAATCCATCTCACACATGTCAAGTGGTAAGTGGAAAGACTGGGCACTCTAACACTTATAGGTCCAACAGACGTGGGCTAGTTTCTAATAGGAATCTGCACACCTCCAGACTGAGCGCATGTAGCCACATACGCGTGGGTGTAGAAGATGAGCCAGTATATTTGAGTGTAAGGGGAGACATCTGAGACATTTAGAAGGTCATTCCTGGATTGTGGGCACTGGGCTTTGATCATTTTCTCGTCGCCTCCGAAATAGACCCTGAGAGGACACAGGACTGGCACCCTCCCACCTCCCCCTGTGTTTGGGTAAGTGTGAGCGTCCAGGAAAAAGACACTGACAGCCAATCCGCTAGTGTTTATATAGTGCAGAGGCTCAGGTTTGCATGACTGCGCCTGATGCATTTGTGTGTGTGCTCTCCTTTGGGTTTTAACAGAGTAAGCTGAAGTCATAAGACATGGTGAGGTTTAGTGATGTTTTCAGGGCTGTTTCTGGCTTTGGGAGGACCTTATGCATAATGCAGTCAGGGGGCCCTGCCTAACAACAGTGTGATTCATAATGCCAGATGATCCACAACATGCTTCC